CATTAACTTTTTTGTTCCACATGACTTATCTACTCATCTACCCACAGAATTGAGATGGCGTATAGTAGAATATACTATAAAAGTGAACTCAAGTGACTTCAGCATTTATTTGAAAATTAAAATGTTTGGAATCAGCTTTCATGGAGTTCTCGTTGTTTCCAATGGCCATACACATGGAGGGAAGAGGAAATGGTTCATCTCCAGAACACACTTGGTCCCCAGAGGGCAGATGTACGTGTCAGTCACATACATCCACATGCGCAGGAAATGACTATTGACATAATCTCCAAGCATAAATCTCAAGATTATTCTCCAGTTTATAAAATGTTGTGGCATAATTTATTATGAAGCGTTTGAGTGACTGATGTACATTTCAGTGAACTGGTTTCTCAGATGAGTTGAAACTAAGACTTGTGTAAACATAGGAAGGGAAATCCTTCCGGGTTTATGTGGTTAGGCGAGAATATTCCCAGTGGGGCTGCCTTGCCCTCTGTGTGGTGTGCTCAGCCTGCAGGAAGTACATCTACAGGATTTGTGAATTTTACAGGAGTTTTGATTAAAATAGTCATGTGTAAACTCACAATTACACAGTCATTTCTCTGAGATATACAATTTTGTAATATTTCTTTGGAGTTCTTCTAACAACCTTTGTTGCTTGGTATTTTTTAAGTTACAGGAACAAATGAAATAAAAACAAAAACTCCAAAGTGCACAGCTTGGAGAAAAAGCAGCAACAGTCCACTAGTGTAGCTGTTGTCTAGAAGATTTGTTGGAAACCCTCCAGCAAAGATTTTAAGAAAACATGAATTATTACCAGATTGGAGTAGAATCTACGATTTCAAATAAAGTCCACCGTCAATGTAATAGAAAAGAACATTTTGATGAAGGCATCTCCCCAAACAGCCAGTATATGCTTTGGATCAGAAGCAATCTGATTTATACTTTTTTCCAGCTAAGATGAGAAAGGACAGTTTTACATACAGCCAACAAACAACTTGTCTTATCATGATGACAAATATGAGCCATTCATGGGCCACTGCAGAACCATTTTGCCTGGAACCATTTCCTCAGAAATGCACCATGAGACACAGAGACCCGAGGAGTAAAGATTAAGTGGTATATGAATTGTCTGCTCTGCCCCCTAAAAAAAAAAAAAAAAAAAAAATGAACATCTAATGCCTGAATACTTTCTCTTTACATGAAAATAAATGGTTCCTTTCTGAGAAAAAGAAATTGAATAATTTAAACTAAGACAATTTCAACTAAAATAATTAGCTGAATTTCAATCAGAAATTATTTTTCTTTTGCAGTTTCTTTTTTTGTGTGTGTGTTTTCTTTGTTTTTATTTGTTTGTTTTTTGAGTCAGGTTTTCTTTGTGTATCAGTCCTGGCTGTCCTGGAACTCACTATGTAGACCAGACTGGTCTTGAACTCACAGAGATCCACCTGCCTCTATCTCCCTGAGTGCTGGGATTAAAGGCATGCTCTTTTACAGTTTAAGTTGTTTGGTTTTTTTGTTTTTGTTTTGGTTTTTTTTTTTTAAGTATCCATGAACCAATAAGAAAGTCACTGTTGAAGTTAACATTAGCTTCAGAATGCTATGTTTAGTATTTTTTAAAAATCATTGTGAAAATGCACAGCCATTCTTTATTACCAAGCACCGTGGACAATAGAATAGCCCCTTCCTTCTTTCCTTGACACTCAGATCCACAACTGGATTTTTCTACTTCAATCCTTTCTTTCGATTTTAAAACAAGTGTGCATAGATGCCTGTCTGTTTTGAATGTGAACTATCCCACATCGGCCCCTGTGTTTGAGTACCAGGTCCTTAGCAGGAGGAACTGTTAGGGGAGGTTGAGGACACAGGACTTAGCTGGCCCCAGGACGAAGCTGATTCCTTCCAGCCTGTTCTTCCCGCTTCTTGTTTGCAGCCTGGCTGTGATAAGCTGCCTCGTGTTTCAGCCTCCATGATCAGGAACAAGATCAGTCACAAGCATTCCCTATACCCAGAGACCAAAAGAAATGCTTTCTCTGTGTTTATTTGCTTATTTATTTTTATTTTATGCACATTGGTGTTTTGCCTGCACGTATGTCTGTGTGAGAGTGTCAGATCTTGGAGTTACAGACAGCTGTGAGTTGTCATGTGGGTGCTGGGAATTGAACCCGGGTCCTCTGGAAGAGCAGCCACTGCTCATGCATTCTCTCCTAAGTTGCTCAGGTCAGACAGTTTGTCACAGAGATGAGAAAGTTAATGGACACATACACTTTTTAATGTAGCTTTATTAGTGAATAGTTCACACACAACAAACTCTCATGTGCATATTTTTATGGCCAGAGAAATACAATAAAGCTAGCTCTCCTGTTACAATACAATACAACAAAACTAGTTTTCTTTCTAAAATGGCATTTTCCAGCCGCCAAATTACCATCATAAAGAAATTTTCAATGGGAAATCCCAGTGGGATGTGGAAGAAACTTGGCTGAGGATTTCTTGTGCAGATTATGGGGTAACCCTGTGACCCCAATATATCAGTCCTTGTCTCTGTTGAGGGCATCATGCAGAAGACAAGAACCCTGAATGCCTCTAGGAAGATTTGCCATGTACCATGTTCAAGTTACACAGAGACAGGTGCAAATTTAACAGACTGACTTTCAAATGTTATCTTAATAATACCCATTATTCTGCATCATGAATTAAAACAGCTTGCCCTTTTGAACCTTTTTTTTTTTTTTGACAAGATTCAACTTTGAGATTTTCTGATCTTTCTAAAGCTGTTAGTATATTTAGCAATTCGATACAGTGTTTTGGACACAAAAACATTTATATAAGTAGATAAATGGAAATGAGTTACAACATCAAAGGCAAGGTTCTATTTAGTAGGACAATTTAGAAAAGTAATAATTCAACAAAATCCTACCTTTCCCCCATTTAAATTCCTATAAAATTATGGCCAAACTAACAGACTGGCATAACTAACAAAAAAAAATATCATTTGATGAATTTCCCACTACACAATGTAGTGTTTACAGCTCTATTAAGGTAACTTCAAAGAAAGTTTGACAATTTCACGTCTGGCCTGACCTTGTCTGTGCTAGTAGAACTCTGGCAGGCATGGTGATTGTTCCTTAAACTTTCCAGTCTTTCCTCAGGTAAGGTGGCAAGCATCCGCCTCTCCAGGTGACACAACACAATACAACCCAGGGAAAGAGGTGTCATGACAGGAGTCAGAAGGGCCACAGTGGGCCAACCACAGATTTCCTGCTGCAAAGGCTACGAGGCTCCAGTGGATAAATCCCACCGCAGACCCAAGAGAACACTGACCCAGAAGAAATGGGGGCATTGCCAACTGGGAGATGATAAGAGGAAGGTCACACAATCCAGTTTATTCTAAGCCACTTTTGGTAGGAAGACAATAAACCATGAGGTTATTATTCACCTCAAACAAAAAGAAAAACTCGTGGCCACACGTTGGAACAGCAGGCCTGGCCGTCACAGGATCTTTAACTTTCCTGCTGCAGGCTACAGGAAAACCGAGCTGAAAATGATTGGGGTTTTTGCCTGTTACGTAAACGCAGCCAAGTCCACTAATAACCTCTTTCCTTGCCAATCTCAAATTGAATTCAGTAACTTTAAAACTGGGTTTTCAAGAGATGAGTGAACTTCACAGCTGGAAGGGGGTATCTAAGGCAAGAAGAGGTAAGGAGGACATGTCTGCAAAGGAATGAGGTGAATATCGTCTCTGTAATATTCCACTCTTGGGGTTCAGTGTGTTTTCCAAAGCACCTGTGTCCTACTCATGGCTCATAGGGACTTCTGAAATTTTCCAACTTCCTACACATTGTTAGCATAGGCAGCAATTTAATTAGCTATCCAAATCTATAATGTAAGTTACACTTCCTAGGTTTTGGAGTATTTGTATTGACAAGAAATAAGGACCAATATCATCAAGGGCAGAGTTGTGCTAACTTCCACAGGGTGGTTTTATCTTGTTACATTTGTTTGTCCTGTTGTGTGTTGTGTAGTGTGCATGCCGTCATGTGGAGGTCAGAGGATGACATTTGGGGTCAGCTCTCTCCACTGTGTAGGCTGTGTAGACTGAAGTCAGGATGTTAGGCTTGGTGGCAAGCACCTCGACCTGCTAAGCCAGCTGAGCTGATTTCCCGACAGTCTCTTGCTGAACACAGGAGCTCTCTGAGCCTGTGGCGGTGTGTGGTGCAGAGAAAGGAGTCTCTCTCAAGGCACAGATCACGGGCAGAACTCCCTAACCAGTGCTGAAAATGTCCCTTCCAGGAAGCCTACATCTGAGCCTGTCCAACTATCCGGGGTGGGAAAGGAGACGCGGTAGGTATAGTGTAGGCAGGAGAAAGGGGGGGTGAACCCCTCACCCAGTGACACCTGAGCCCCTCTTCATACTGGCATGATTTACCAGTGCCTTCTACAATTTGAAATGGAAGTCAGATCTTAATATTGACCAATTTCTTGACAGGTGGTCACACCATATTCTATAGAGAAAACCATTTTTCACATCCCATATACATTTTCTATTTGGAAAAAACAACTACAGACACAATCTTTGTACACACAGCTCAGCTGAATAATGATCTTACATCTCTTAACTGGAATGGCCAACTCAAAGCACACACTGGCTTTCACAAAAACACTAGTATAAACACATTTTATTTATTGTTTGAAACAGGGTCTCACTGTGTAGCCTGGGGTTGGCCTCGAACTCTACGTAGAGAAGGCTGGGCTCAAATTCACGGAGATCCACCTGCCTCTGTGTCTTAGAGTGCTGGAATTAGATATGCAACATCACACATTTTATTTCTTAAAGCTAGAAACACTGTATCAGCTTTTAATTTGTCATAGACTACAGAGAATGGGGAAGGAAGGAAGTGCATCCTTTGGCTACATAGAACTATATGCTTTTGCACGCCTTTCATTCCAATAGTTTCTCTTTACTGTGTAACAGTGGCACAATGACTAACGTAGCTATATATTTTTATACAGGGCTGATTACTCCATTCCACATTTATTTAGACAGATACATTTTGACATTCAACTACAGGTTTCAATGTAAACTTCAGAAACAGTTTGTTATGTCCAATGTAATAAATACAGAATTATTTCACAATCTTGAAAAACAACAGCCACCACTCAGCCAGGCCCCCCCCAGGGGACCGCCTACGGCTGTGAGGCTGTCGGAGTGTTGCTATGATTTGTCTTTTCTCCAGACACAGGGTGCTTCAGGAACTGACCCGTGGCACCAATGTACAATCTTGATCGCATGGGCCATTTCTGAAAAAAAAAAAAAAGAGTAAGGAAAAATCTGAAAGTTAGTCTGTACGCCATACAGCATAGGTTGTATAATATCTAGGTTTTAACACACGTTCCTGTTAGTCTCTACGCCATACAACATAGGTTGTATAATATCTAGGCTTTAACACACATTCCTGTTAGTCTCTATGCCATACAACATAGGTTGTATAATATCTAGGCTTTAACACACATTCCTGTTAGTCTCTATGCCATACAACATAGGTTGTATAATATCTAGGCTTTAACACACATTCCTGTTAGTCTCTATGCCATACAGCATAGGTTGTATAATATCTAGGCTTTAACACACATTCCTGTTAGTCTCTATGCCATACAACATAGGTTGTATAATATCTAGGCTTTAACACACATTCCTGTTAGTCTCTATGCCATACAGCATAGGTTGTATAATATCTAGGCTTTAACACACGTTCCTGTTAGTGTTCCTGTTACTTTGCTGCTGAGGATTCTAATTACAAAGTCTATGGGGAAAGACGAACAGTGCTTTGATTGTAACTGTGAAAGTAGCCAGGTGGTGGCGCACGCCTTTAATCCCAGCACTCAGGAGGCAGAGACAGGAGGCTTAGTGAGTTCGAGGCCAGCCTGGTTTACTGAACAAGTTCCAGGACAGCCAGGGCTATATATAGAGAAACTCTGTCTCGGAAAACAAAACAAAACAAAAACAATCAGAAAACCCAACAACAAAACCAACACAATGCGTATTTGACAAGAACTGTGAGAAGTTAAGAATGAATATTGCTGAGATGTAGAAAGTCTACCACTGCATTTTATTTCCAAGTTAAACCTGCAATAAAATTAAATTTAAAACATTAGTTTTAAAGAAGCTGTGCACAGTTATAGACAAACTAGGCATTCCAGGAAAGTAGCAATATATGGAAAGGACCAGGTAGCACCTGGGTAGCAATGGCAGGCGACGTCACAGAGCAGCCCATAGTTTTTAGTTTGCGTTTTCTGTCTCATAGTGGGTGACTATAGATGGTGATAATGCACTTTTCATATTCTGATACACTCGAAGAAATGTTTTCAAATATTTATAGCACAAATGGGCAATGTCTACAGAGGCAGATGTGAGATTATTCTGATCTGAACATCATATAACACACACACACACATACTAAAGCACAGCACTGTATCTCACAAATATTTTCACATCAGGTGAAAATAAAAATGTTAGTAGGTGGGTGTGTCATATTATCTGGAAAGTCACTTTTGTGGCAGCCAACACAAGTCCTATTTTAATGTCTCCAGGTATGATTAGTGAATACAGTCCTGTACTGTATTTTCTCTCTACTGAGGTACACTTATTTTCAACTTGTTTTAAATCACATGTCTTATAGATTCCTAGGTCTGCATACAAAGTAATAAACTTCATTATGGCATTGTCATATGAATGCACACATCATTATACTTTCTTCTCTTTTCTAAAGTGTATTTGAAATTATGTAGTTTTTTTTTTTTTTTAACTTGGGGGAAAAATTAAGCCATTAACCAGAACTGATCCTGAAAATTAAGACCTTTAAAAACACATTCTTATTTTAATTAAATGACCCCCAAGCAATAAGAGCCCACCGTTTTTTAAATTCTTGCTTATCATTGTTTTGGACAACGATTCTCATGGGACCTGGCAATTAGCAGAGTCCTCTGCATTTTTCTCCCTAAGTTAAAGGCCTGAAATACACTCCTGTTCTCCCGGAGAATTGTCCCTCTGGGCCCCTAGTGCTGACTGAAATTGCTCATTTTCCAAGTGGATAAAAGTGGGTTTAGGCCATGCTGTGAAGGTCCAGTTCTTTTTTGGTTTATTTATTTTTATTTTAAATGCACTGGTGTTTTGCCTGTAGGTATGCCTGTGTGAGGGTGTATTTTTATTTTATATGTATTGGTACATCTGTGTGAGAGTGTCAGATCTTGGAGTTGCAGTGTTGTGTTGCATTTGAGTGCTGGGATTTGAACCCGGGTGCAAATCAGTCAGTGCTCTTAACCGCTGAGCCATCTATCTCATTAACCCAGAAACTGTAGTTCTCAAAACTCTCTTCCAGTTTAGCAGGCAGAACCAAGGACTTTGCATAAGCTCTAATCATAAGCTCCACCCCTGACTAACCCTTCTTCCATCATCTGGGACACTCTAAGGTCCCCAATCATTTTAATATGCTCCTAATATTGGTAAAAAGGATTGATGATTCAAAGCGACAGACTGGAGTATTTGTTAAAATATCTTTAGTAATTTGTGTAGCACTTAGCAACATTGTTGCATTACAGGAAAACAGTAATTTTAGAAGACTTACTCAGGGCTATCTACCATAGTTTATAATGAGACCTTACTTACCCAGAAAGTGAAAATCATCAGTATATTTTTATTCCCTTTGTATTAAGGATAGACTTAATATTTAAACATTTCAACAGAGTTCATAAAATAGAGGAAGGCAATTTCAATTAAGTATTTACAATTTCTGTTTTCTGAAACTCCGAAACCCATGGTTTAGAGTGTTTTTCTTAATATATATCATATTCTTCTTTACAGTACTATACTACAATTTGTATTTTTGTTTTTAGCTCTACTGTATTTGTTTTGGGCAGGGATTAAGTCTGTCTTACAATTGTGTTCCCTGTCCTAGAGCAGAGATTTCTTTATAGTAAGTACCAAATCAAATATTTGACTTAAAACACACCAGTCCCTTGTTAGCTATCAACAATTTCATTTTTATGAGATAACCTTTGGCCCTCTATAATTATCTCTAGGTTTAGAAATCTAGATATTATGGTCATTGTCTTTTAAAATCAGACAGCAAATTAGATTTGTTTTTCTTAAAACAGCTATGACTACAAAAACATTTGGCATGTGAGTTAGGCACAATGCTGCTAGCTCGCTCTGCCCCTTTCCAATACTGATGTCTCTAGCATTTCTCATTAAGGAAAGCCGTGCTTGACACCGAGGTGAAATACTTGACCTCATTCTAAATTTTATCAACCACGAGGGAGGCATTGAACTTCTGCTTTGGGTATGAAATCTTAATGTTTAAATTTCTGGGAATATATGGCAAATGTCAAGTCAAAGAAATGTTAGTGGGATATTTGAATAGCATTAATCTATGCTATTGTAATACAGAAGTCTTAATTGTAACGAGTGACTTGTCAGCTATTGTGCAATAAAACTCTATCATTATTATAAATAATGTTCTATCATTATTATAAATAACATTTCATGTTTTCACATTTAACATTTGAACTGTTTTAAGTCTATCACCATGTTGACAGTATTTTCAAAATAAGTTTTGTTAAGATGCATTCCATAGTTTTAAGTAAAATAATATTAGAGGATGTGTTTTATTATGTTTCAACAAAATGTAATTCCTCATTTTTGTTGCTCAATAGTTTTTTCAATGCTTAGATAAATTTCTAATTGTGTGTATTTATGTTCAATTATTTCAGAATAGTGAGACAAACATGTGAACATTTAAATTTAGCAAATTCAGAATTTCTTCATTTTGAAGAGAAAAACAGGTCAATGGAAGGTTTTAAAAGAAATCCAGAAAAAGATGATGCAGAAGTTAACGCACTATAGGTGAAAAGTCAAGTCACATACCATACTCAAGACCGCTTCATGGACACGTAAAGAAATCATGCAAAAAATAGTTTTTCTAGGCTAATTTGAATACAGACCAATTCACTCAACACACATGCCAACCTAAGATGACAGTTACATGAAACATTTTGGGGTTTTTCTAACATTGCTGGTAGCTGTGTAGTCCACAATATTTAACTGTGATTGAAATTTTACTCCACGGGGACTAAGAACATTTGGTTTTCACTGATTTTGGCAAAGATTGTGTGTGTGTGTGTTTTCTTTTTTCTGTTCTTACAATTACTTTAGGGGCAAAGAATTAATTCTGGTTAGTTTATGACGCCTTTGGAGTAGCTCATGAGAAGGACAATGGGGATGTAAATTAAGATAATTGACTCTTGAAGGGCACAAACGTAACTTAGATGTTACCTGTCATTACAACGTGTAAACAGCTTCCCCATTTTTCACCATGAAAGAGCGCAAGTACTCGAGCCCATGCAGGATTAAACGCCCCAGCTTTCTGGTTGCACACTGTCAAGAAGCAGCCTCTTTCATTGGGGACCTGGTCACCACGGCCCAGGTAAGCTGGCTTCCTAGAGGTGTTTCTGCGCGCCGCCGCCGGGGAGGAGTGCCAGCTCCGTGGCCTCTGCTCCAGCGGGGACAGGGTAGCTCCGGGGGTCCCAGCCCCGAAGTGTCGCCTACCTTAACTGGGTGCAGGTAGCCGTCGCCTCTCAAGGCTCCCAGACTGGGGTCTCCCGGCGGCGCCTCGGTGTCGTCCTGCAGGCTGCGGGTGAGGTGGGCGATGTAGGTGGTGGCCAGCAGCAGCACGTCCAGCTTGGACAGCTTGGTGTCGGGCGGCACCGACGGCAGCGTGCGCTGCAGCTCCAGGAAGGCGTGCCGCAGGGTCTGCACGCGGCTGCGCTCCCGAGCGGCGTTCGCTGCGGCGGGCCGGCCACCCCCGGGGCGCGCCGCCACCCCGCCGGAGCCTGTGTGCCCGGCCCCGGCCCGGCCCGGGCTCGACTCGCGGCCGGCGGCGGCCGACGGGGCGGGCTCGGTGCTGCTGCGTGGGCTGCTGGCGGGACGGCCGCGCTCCATAGCGGCTGCGGCTCCGGTTCCCGCGGCGAGCGCTGCAAGGGAGCGGGGCGGCCGTGAGACGCCCTCGAGTCCCCCGTGCTCGGCGGCTGCCGAAGGCGCACGGGGCTCCCCCGGCCCCCGCAGAGGCATCCCGCCCGCCCGCCCGCCCGGGGAGCCGGTGCCGCGGGTCCCCCGCCTCCTCACCTTCCCCCGCGGAGGCCGTGCGTGCGGGGCTCCGGGGAGCAGTGCAGGGCGACCAGGGGCGTCGAGCAGTCACTCCATCCCCGTGCAGCCTCTGCTGCCGCCTTTTATGCGGCTGCCCAGAGCCGGCAAGTGGGAGGCCCGCGCAGGCACGTCGGGCGAGGCGGGCGCCCGCCCGAACCCTAAGGCGAGGGGCGACCGCGCCTCGGAGCCGCCCCCTCGGCGCACAGACTCATCCATCAAACCGCTCGGGGGCGGGACGGACACCTGGCCCCGCCCCCTGGCCGCTCGGGACCCCGCGGGTCCTCGCTCGGTGCAGCCTGCCTTTCTGCTCCCGGAGCTGAGCGTGCGTCCTGCAGTTGGACCCCTTCCTCGGTACACCGTGACCTAGAGACCCGCCATCGCCCCCCGCCCCTTTGACCCGCGCGCCCAGGACCAGACCCCACCGGAGCGGAGCGGACCGGCCCCGGAGAAGCCGCCCGTCGCCGCGTGGGCGGGGCCCAGGTCTGCAGCCCGCACCGGCCTTCGCGGGGAAGCCGCCCCGACACGATCCTCGCTGCAGCCCACGCTCCAGAACCGGGCCCAGAGCATCACATACTGACCGTCAGAGAGGACACTGCTCGCCTGTAGATTCTTGGACGTTTTCCCGGCAGATTTGTGACTTTCCACGTCGGGGTTAACCAAGCCGCAGATAGGAGTAGCTCAGCACACTTACACCGCCATGAACCAGATGTGTTGAATGTTGTTAGTGAACCAGAGTGATCCTTAGCTGCAGTGGGCTTTAGGTTTGGAAAGCACGCCCAGATACCATGGATTCAAGGCTCGTATGCTATAAGACACCACATTCTATTTCCTGGTAAATTTTATTTAACAACTAATAAAGTAAATAGATCCTGGAATTCACACACGGAAGGTAAAGTCTCCGATTCTAAAAGAAACAAATCAAACAAGAACTTATACACCGAGATAACCGAAGCCTACAAACCCTCACGACACGCCGTTGCCTAGCTCTATGAAGAAAGCAAATCAAACGAGGCTGAATTTACTCCTTTTCCTCATACAAAGTTTCCTTTACTTGTGGGTTTCGCAGAAGGTGAGGTTCATGGATATCGTTTTTTGTTAGCAAGCTTTCAGATTCCTTCAAAGACAGATTCCTGTATTTATAAACAAAAACAACACGCCAGCATTTAATTAACTTGATAGGCATAAAATAAAAATAAACAAATACATAGAACCCAGGACATACTAAGGTGGTACAGGCTCATAGCTAGTCAGGCTTTAAAAGCAAGCAGAAACATTTCCGGCTTTGGGAGGTACACGGAAATAAGGCGGCTAGGCTGGCTGTGGCCCTGCAGGGATGCTGGAGTTGCTTACTTTTGCCCCTGCCTCAAAGGCCTCAGTCTAGTTTATTGCTCTCCTGCTGCCCGTGTGCGCCCTGGAGTAGTGAGAAAGGGACTAGCGTTCACAGACCAGATCGCCAGCCTCTTTTTGGTCCCATATTTGCTACCGTAGGCAGACTGATTTTACGTCCAAATTGCTGAAAGAGACTAGTATTTTCAGGGACTTTTGAATATAGATAATCCCCAAACTTCAGTATTACATCCCTAAAGTAACAGGTGCCATATGGTGCTTTTCGTGTGCTGATTACTTAGTGGGCATTTTCTCATTTCGCCTTTACAAAAAGCGAGGTTTTACATTTTACACTTGGGAGGACAGGGTTATCCAGGATTGGACAACTAGTCATACCTAGTAAATGACTAAGGCGGGGTCAGACCAGGTAGATTGTCCCTAACGTTTACGATCTTTGTCATACTACCGAGTGTTTGTATTTTACAAAATAGTTTCTGTGTCTATTAAGATACATACTTAGACTGATTGACACCTTATTTGCAGACCAAATAAATGTTCATAGTCTATCTTTCTTTGAAGTTCCTAGTTGTCTAGTTTTCCAAAAGTATGACTTTAGAATGCCATAGATTTTATTCACTGAGTGTGATGTAAATCTTAGAAATATTAAGCCTTTTAAATATGTCACATATGTTAGAATTGTCTGTATAATAAAAGCTAAAAAGCAAATATCTCATAGCAGAGAATAAGATATTCAGACATTTTATACTATACATACATTTTGTATCTATTAAACCATAAATTGGCTTCAACTATTTCCCTCATTGTTTAAATTAAAGAATAACTTTTAGCCTGGTACTGTGGATTAATCCCAGCACTTGGGAGGCAGGCAGGCAGGCAGATCTGTGAGTTTGAGACCAACCTAATCTACATTTCAAGTTCCAGGACATCCAGAGCTATTCAGAGAGATAATCCTGTCTCAAGACAAACAGATAACTTTCATAGTTAAATTTATCATTTGAGTGTATAGTTTAGCAAGTTTAGGGAAAATGTATACTGTACTCTAGCTACCATCCAAATAAGGACACAGACCTCCATCATCTGTAATAATTCCATTTCCTTAGTCAACCCTTTCTCCTACTCCTAGTTCCTGGGAAGTCCTGATCTGTTTTCTATCACCATGGTTCCCCTTTTGCCAGAATATCACATAAATAGAAGCGCATAGTGGTTTCTTTTAAAGTCTCAGTACTTTCCCTTAACAAGGGTTTTTTTGTTTGTTGGTTTTTTTTTTTTTTTAGATCTATTTTGTATAGTGTTCTGTCTGCATGCCTACAGGCCAGAAGAGGGCACAAGATCTCATTACAGATGGCTGTGAGCTACCATGTGGTTACTGGGAATTGAACTCAGGACCTCTGGAAGAACAGTCACTGTTCTTAACCTCTGAGCCATCTCTCCAGACCCCTTAACAATGTTTTTGAGACCCATTCATGTTGAGTTTATCAATGGTTCACTTCTTCTCATTGCTGAGTGGCATTTTGTGTGTGTGTGTGTGTGTGTGTGTATTACAGATTATTCATATCCCACTTGAGATATATTTGTCTTAAATATTTAATAATTTCAAATAGACCATTCTAAACACCCAGGTAAAGTTTCTCTTGAGTATACATTTTCATTTCGCTTAGGAAAATTTCTTGAACTTTCCAATGCATCAAACGATCATGCTAAGGGCCTCCTGATTTTGCATTCCCATTTTTAGTGCATGAGTTCTAGCAGCTCGATATCTCATCACTATTTAGAGACTTACTTTTATTTCTCATCTATTCTAATATGCTGGGGCTGTATGTGTGTGTGTGTGTGAGAGAGAGAGAGAGAGAGACAGACAGACAGAGAGAGAGAGTGTATCCAGGCTCCGCCCATCTGTACCCACTAGTGCTGCAGTGTTGGGGTGCAGGCCTGTGCTGCAGTGCTGGGCTTTAAGTGGGTGCTGGAGATCTGAACTCAGGCCCTTTAGCTTGTGTGATATGCGCTTTACTGACTGAGCGAGCCATCTCTCCATGGCTCCACTGTTAACGACAGAGACTGAGCCGATGTTGACCTAGAGCTCTCGCTTGCCAGGCGCTCTTGTGTCACAGGCCCAGTATGCTGCCCACATTGCTCTCACCCCGAGTGGCTGCAGGTGCCTTTAGCCGCATAGGGGTGTGCTCGTCCATTCATCTCCGTCACCTCCTCACTCGCTTCCCTTTCTGTACCTTCCTGGACCTGGGACTGAGCAGAGTCATTCAGAGTTTGACTGCTTGAGCCAGAAAATTCTTTTATTAAGAGTTCTAGTATTTCAAACTTATTTGAGTAATAAAGATTTACCTTTCAAAGTATAGGCCTTTTAGAATGGAAAGTAAGAGTTGGGTTAAATTTGGCTTAGATAGTTTATAGAGTAAGCTATTGATAGCACTGAAGGCAGAATTTCCAAAGACTAGCTTAGTCTGTAAAAAACGGAAAATCTTGATGTTGCTGCCCACCATTGCTCTTGGTGGGAGTCGGTATCCCACTCTCAAGAGTTAACATTTTATCTACATTACTGATACACACAATGTTTATTTGGCACATGAAATTAAATATACTGAAGGGAAGGCTAGCAAAGCAAAACTAAAGGCATTTTGACTTTGCAAGTGTGTTTATGTAAAAGCATCCTAGAGTTTTAGGGCTAAAATATTACCACAGTCCTTAAAATTCTTTCTGAAGCACAGAGATCTGTTATTACAACTGTTTAAACATACCCTTACCAGTCGTGAAAGCTAGGCATTTTAACTATTAAATCCCGCTTTTAATTCAAAGACACTTCTTCCCACAGTTTAGCAAGTAACTTAGCTGGGTATTTCATAAATAGTAAACCAAAACAGAGGGGGATGGATATCCCTGAGAATTACGAGCCCCAAGGATTTGTGTTCCTTGAGGTTGTCTGAAACCCAGCATAGCCTAACCCGTCTGGAAAGGTATTTTTACATTAGCAAAATGGTTATGGTTGTCAGGGTTGCTTGCGCGTGATAGTTAAGTAACTTTGTCTTCTTCATGGGATAGTGCTGTACAGTACTGTAGGTGGATCTTAGGAACAACTTACATGGATTTAATGTCTATTATTAAATCACTAAGGTTCAAGGACCCCCTAGCATATTTGAAAAGAGAGGAAACATCTGTCAGAATTACTTACTGTGACAACCACAGAGGAAAGCAATAATATGTACTGCTCTTGCTTATTTAATACCATACATTATCTTTAATTGAACAAGGAAAGCATTTGTTCACAATCAGCCTTTAAATAAAAAATAGGCTAGAGCTAATCTTTAATTAAAGTGTACTTTGATAGTATCAAGTTCAGTTTGAGGGTCACAAACAACGTCAATAAGTCTGACTTTTTTTCTCCCTGCAGGGAAAGCAGGCTTGTGTAAATATACACGTGTAGACTGCATGCATTTATAAGAGACAGGGAAAACATTCCCCTGTCTTTGGACAGATGTTGCTTCGCAGTGCTACACTTTGCATACGGGCACAACTCCCAGTGTGCAGAGCCCTCAAGGAGTGTGCAACAGATTGTTGCTTTTGGAACACATACCATTTTCTACATCTCTACAGGCAGGCTCCTCACCTCGAATGTTAAAATAGCTTGTAAAAATATGTTATGGATGCCGGCTTGTTCTCACCTTTAAAATAGTTAAGGGAAAGAGTTGCTTTAATAGAGTCTCTTAGAAACTGAAAATCTGATCGTTGTGTTTGTGTTCAGATGGGTTTGTTGTGTGTGTGTGTGTGTGTGTGTGTAAACACATCATGCTAGGCAAATATGCTCTACCACTGAACCAACACTCTTGGCCAAATTATTATTTTGGGGGGGAGATTGTTTTTACTGAAAATGTTTTCCATTTTACAGACTAACTCCAGTTCCCTCTCCCTCCCATTCTCCCACCCCACCCTCTTCCTAACCCCCCACCCCCATCCAATGGGAGATGTTTTTTAGGGAAAAAATTGGTTTTGCTTTCTTTCTTTGATTTTTTAATAATTTTTTATGTGCATTGGTGTTTTGCCTACATGTACATCTGTGCAAGGGTGTCGGATCCCCTGGAACTGGAGTCTCAGACAGTTATAAGTAGCCATGTAGGTGCTGGGAATTGAACCTGTATCCTTTGGAAGGATTAACCACTGAACCATCTCTCCAGCCCCCTCAGGCCAAATCATTAACACTTGTTGTTAGTACTTTACCTCTCTTCGGACTTTAGTCTCACTATCTTTCAGGGTTTGTTTTTTGTTTTTGTTTGACATTAACTTACTGAAGTTCTCATAGCTGCATTCATAGATGAAAGTGCTGAGCCATATTTTGCCTTCTGCCTTACATGTGTGGTATATCTCAATTAAAAATGGAGATTTCATACATGAGTCATGATTCAGAAACAAAAATGGAAACTAGTCCATGTGAACAAATAAAAAGGTTTCCTCTCCAACAGGCACAAACACACACACATACACAAACCAAAACAATACAAAACAAACAAACAAAACAAAACTTCTGTGAAACACCTGGGGAAGTTTCATAATATATCTTGTCACCGATTAAAGAGAGACATAACTAATATTACCGTGTAGTCAGACTAAAATTTTTGGAGTCACTAAAACAGTATTTGGTGGTGTGGGATAATGTTCTTGTTCACTGTAAAGATTTGCCACTCATATTGCTTTAGAAAATGCTGCCTGGCCAGGAGCCAGGCGGGAAGTATAGCAGGGTCTACCAGACTAAGAGAATTCTGGGAAGAGGAAGGCAGAGAAGCTGCCACCAGCCAGACACACAGGAAGCAAGATGAGAACGCCTTACTGAGAAAAGGGACCAAGCTATGTGGCTAAATAAACATAGATGAGAATTATGGGTTAATTTAAGTAGTAAGAGTTTGTTAGTAATAAGCCCGAGCCACAGGCCAAATAGTTTATAATTAATATAAATAAGCCTCTTTGTGTTTATTTGGGGCGACTGGACAGGACACGCTGTCTACAATTTGGTATGCTTTCAGGGAAACGGTTACCTGAGGAGACAATAAACATTTAAAAGGGGACATTTGCATAACATTTTCCCTCACAGGATGAAACTGAAAACTCAGTTGAACATGCTCCTTTCCCACAGTGGCAGGAGCTCATCACAGAGCCTGAGCTCTGCTGCTGTTTAGGACAGTTGATCTTTGCAGCAGGGAGGGAGTTTTCTCTTTAAAAAACACCTTTAGCTCTGAGGTCCTAGTTGGGACAAGGAGAGGAGAGTGATCCTGTTTCATTAGTGTGCTCCTAACGATTTGGACTTTGCACATGGATGCAGAGCATATGCTGGGTATCACAGCTCACTACGGATCCAATTACTATGTGGTAATGTATAAAACTCACTGACTTTGTTTTTTGAGGCTGTGTATATTATCCATGTTTGTTGCCTAATCCACCTTGTGGCATGCCAACTTTTGTGGAATATGTGTACACTGAAGATATATTGCTGTCACTGCTTTAATGAAGAGCTGAATGGCCAATAGCTAGGCAGGAAATATAGGCGGGATGCCTAGGCAGAGAAAGAGGAAGTAGGAGATGAATCAAGTTGCAAAAGAGTTGCCTACCAGTGTGGAGGAAGCAGGATGGGCGGGCAGTACGGACAGATGAGGTATCAAACCATACAACTGAACATAAATTAACAAACATGGGTCTCGAAAACCCAAAAATAAGTAAATGATATGGGTTACTTTAAGATATAAAAACTAGTTAGGAAGAAAACTAAGCTGAGGCCAAGCTTTCATAATTAATAAGTCTCTCCTGGTGGTAGTGGTGAACACCTTTAGTCCCAGCACTCAGAAGGCAGAAGCAGGCAGATCTCTGTGAGTTCAAGGCCAGCCTGGTCTACAGAGCTAGTTCCAGGACAGGCTCCAAAGCAATACAGAGAAACCCTGTCTTGAAAAAACAAAACAAAACAAAACGAAGTCTCTGTGTCATTATTTGGGAGCTGGCTGGTGAGACAGAAAGAGACCCGTTACAACCAACGGTACTTAGAGAAGCCTTTGACAAAGAAACACAATGACAAACCTGAGCTGTGGAATTTACACGGGGGTCGTCTGTCTTTCAGAGACTAAAGGGTGCCGTGGGAATGCTGGTTTTGGAGGTTGTGCGTGAACAGCAAACATGTTCTCACACAGCTCCCATATGAACAAAGAAGCAAAGCTAGGACTCTGTAGTTTTTTTCTCCCCTCTCTCCGGCATTTTCAGACTTACAGACCCACGCACCGCAGCATCCCCGAGCGCCCCTGCCCCTATCCGGGGAGGTGTAGAACAGGGACGGGGCTTCTTCTGATGGGTGTGGCTAGACACAGATTGACAAGACCGTGGCAGGAGAATCACACGACAGTCCCAGGCCGTTCTGGGAAGAGGGGTACAATCCCACAATACATCACCCACGGGCTCTGATTAATCTCTCAGTGACTTGTGCATTGCCCTTCACTATAGTGTAATGAACACTATTGCGTGACTGGGGACAGCAGAGCAATCATCGGGTTGATTATAAATGCAAAGGGAAGCTGGAGAGATGGCTCAGTGGTTAAGAGCACTGGCTGCCCTTCCAGAGGTCTGGAGTTCAATTCCCAGCAACCACATGGTGGCTCACAAACCATCTATAGTAGAGTCTAATGCCCTCTTCTGGCATAAAGGCATACTTGCAGATAGAGCATTCACACACATAAAAATAATCTCCCCCTCCAAAAAAAAAAAAAAAAAAAAAAAAGTAAACGGATGCAAAGGGTGGGCTGGGCTGTAACTCAATGGTAGACATGCTTGTTTTGCATGACTGAGGCCCTAGGTTTGATCCTAGTGCTGCTCAGGAGAGGACAGAGATTGAACAAATGAGAGAGGGAAACTCAAAATAAATGGGAAAAAGGTTGAAGCAAAATGTATAGAATGTGTTATCATCTATCTGGCTAGCAACACTCACAGCACAGCCACATACACAGCAATTGTGGCAGATCTGGCTCCCACCTGGCTTGCAAAAGATTTGAGATTAGGATTGCCTAACTAGAGGGTTTTTTTTTGTTTGTTTGTTTGTTTGTTTGTTTTTGTTTTTGTTTTGTTTTTTTAAAGACAGAACCTGTTTTAGCTCAGGTTGGCCTTGAAGTTGTGTAGCTGATAACAATCTATTGTGGGGTATTATTTTAAGGTGTGTGACTTTTGTTTTTGCTGTGGACCATGTGCTTATGCTGCGTCTGTGTAACTGTGAAGCTGTGATTCTTTGCCTGTCTAAAACCCCTGATGGTCTCTAAAGAACTGGCCGGCCAATAGTGAGACGGGAGCAAGGGTAGGCGGGGCTGGCAGGCGGAGAGGAGAAAGAGGAGGAATCTGAGACATGAAGGAGCAAGAGAACAAGGAGAGGCGGATGCTGCAGGCCAGCCACCCAGCCAGTCACGGAGCAAGAGTGAAAGTAAGACATACAGAAGCAAGAAAAGGAAAAAGCCCAGAGGCAAGAGGTAGTCAGGATAATTTAAGTTTAGGAAAACTGGCAAAAAAAAAAAAAAAAGCTAAGGTCAGGCATTCATAACTAAGAATAAGCCTCGGTGTATTCATTTTAGAGCTGGATGGCGGGCCCCCCAAAAGCACCCGAGAGCCCTAAAGAGTAAAGAGCAAAAGAGAAAAGAAAAACAAACAAAAACCAACCACCTTGAACACCTAGTCATCCCGCTTCAGCCTCTAGCCTTCTGGGATTGTGGTCAAGCCTTATCGTAGCTTGCTTCTTGTTTGAATGTTTACGTTGTGTTATTTAATATATGGGAAGTATATATTTTAGAACAAGTGAGGTTATTTTCCAGAATGGTGTAACTTTGTATAAAAATAATGTCATCTTAAAAAAAAAAAAAAAAAAAAAAAAAAAAAAAAAAACCTGTTTTCTCATCCGGAGGACCATAACAGATTTATATAGAACTAAATAGTATAGAATCAAAGCTTAGAATGGAGATGCGACTTTTTTTTCATAAACCCCTTTGGGAGTGAATGCAACTTCTAATGTCCTCAGAGAGAGCAGGGTCATAACCTTTGGGGCCATCTGACTCATTCTCCTCATTCTACTGACCCCCATCCACCGGGGCCCACTGTCACCTTCCTTTAGAAGCTCCTTCCCCGGGGTCATTCAGACACCTTTACCCACATCTTCAGGGACCTTTACCTCACTGAGTGCATCAAATCAAACTGCCGACTTCTGCAGAGCCATCCCCCACCTCTGCCTCTGCAGTTGGATGGCGTTTGCCCTGACCGACCCTGACGTTGACTGAGAACAGAGGGCTTGGAGGGTCCCTCTGCATCTGTGATATCACTCAGGGGACCCCACTCCCTCGAACGAGGAAACCCAAGCAAACATTTGAAAGAACCTACCCCATGTCTTCAGGAATTTGAGTTTTATCTTCCTGGGAACATTCTGAAGATGGATTTCCACTTACAAAGTACCTCTGTGCATCAGAGAAAAAGACTACTTTTGGCTTACCCACCTGTGGGTAACAAACAGGAACTATATGACGTATTGTTTCAAAGTTACCTGTAGTGTACAAAGAATTAAAAGCATCCTGCTTTGAAACTAATTACTAGATTCTCAAATGACATTTTTCATATCTTAAATTATATATTATAGAATGGAATTAAACAAAGGCAAATAAACCCACAGTAAAAATCAATAATAAAATTAATATCCAAAACAAAACACCACAGACTTTGATACAGAAAAACCACACAGGAAAATTCATAATTAATTGTTATAAAGAAAGTGGACATGCTAGCATTAATATTAACATTAACTGACTTAAATTTTGCTTTTCTAAATTTATTTTCAAAGTAACCTCTAGGGCATGGGTCAGTTGTGTTGTTGGGACTAGTTCATATCTTTACCTGAGCAATTCTCATTCCATATCATGTATAGTTTCCAGCATGATGTCACATCTAGAGGGGACTGCCTTGTTTACCTCTATTCCCAACTGCCTTCAATAGTCCACTATCCAACTATCCAATGCTTAACCATTTTCCTCAATGTTAGAGATTAAACTCAGGGAGGGTCTCATCCTGAGCTGCCTTTAAAAATATTTATTAAATCAATATATTAATCTTCCATAGGCTATGAAAGCAAATACTTTTAAAAAGTTCAATCATTTTGGATCTTATTGAAATACTTGATTATATTTCCAGCTTCGATTTACATGGCTATATTTAGGATTATTTCTTAACTGTAAGATTCTTGAAGTCAGGAACTACAATCTACATAATTTTACTTTAATTCCCAGTATAGAGCTACACATTTAGAAGGCTTCCAAATATATAAAGTATATTAAAACTTTTAAAAATTGAGGGTGTATGAAGATGGTCCCTCTTTGTGGTGGCTGATTTTGATTGTTTTGTGTGCAGGGGTGACGGGGATGTCTCAGTGGATAAGTACACTTGCTCCTTAACATAAAGACTAGAGTTTGAATCCCAAGTTCTGCACTGGGCAGCTCACAAATGCCTGTAACTCCACTCCCAGGGACCTACCCTCTTCTGGCCTCTGTGAGCACCCGCACATGCCTGTGCGCATGCGCACAAACATTAACGCGGAAATGGCTGGAGGACGAGAGCAGCACACATCTGTGACACGCTTACAGGGGATAATTAGATGCTGAGGCCTCCGTACTAATGGCGAGTGGAAAATCATCTATAATCTGATAGCATTTGAGGAGCTGGTTAAAAGGTGGGAAGCAAGGCTTCACTGGAGGAAGTAGGTGTCTGGGGACACGTCCTTAGTGGCTCTTACTTGCCCTGGCTCCTTTCTCTGTTTCCTTTTCTCTGCCTCCTGGCTACCAAGAAGTAAAGAGCTGCTTGTGTGAAACGCTCTCCTGCCACGCTTTGCCTAAGCACATGAGTGGGGTAACCAAGGGCTCAACCAACCCTCTGATACTATGAGCCAAATTACATTCTTCTTCATTCCTAGTCACAGAACTAAGGAAGTACCCACATGTTCTCCGTCATCACTTAACACCTGCTGCTTTTGTTTCGTTTGAGACAAGGTTTCATGCAGCCTGAGGCTGGTTCTGAACTTCTGATACCTTTATCCTCCCTTCCAAATTCTGGAATTACCAGCATGTACTGCCATGCCTGGATTTTTTTTTTAAGTTTTATTTTATGTGTGTGTGTGTTTTGCCTACATGTGTATATGTGTACCACATGCATGCCTGGAAAAAAAAAACCAAACATGGTCTTAGCCGATAAGCCATCTCTCTCCAGCCACCCCACCTCCTGCCCCGACCACACATGTTTTTTTTTTTTTAAATAATGGCCATTCTGGCTGATGTGAAAACTCATCTCCATGACTACGGAGTCAGCATCATCTTTATTGTGCTGACCATTTTTAATGTCTCTTTACAAATGCCCACTCAAGTCCCTAATCTATTTTGAAATCAGGTTATTAATACCCCTTTGCCCTTGAGTTGTAGAAATCTCCTATTTTGGAGATTAACTTCTGTCTGATATATGGTTTGGAAGCATTTTCTTTCATCCCATAGGCTTCACTGCCTTTTTTCATTTCTTGTGTAGAAACTGCTCGGTTTGATCCTGTCTGACCTAATTATTTCTGGTTTTCTGTCTGTGTCTTCATGGTTACAACCATGGGGTCATTGCCGAGATGAGTCCCATGGCGCTCCACTATGTCTCCTTCCAGGAGTTTTATGATGGCGTGTCTTTACCTCTCTAGTCCACCTTAAATTGATTTTGAGGATGAGGGTACAGTGTTCTTTTCTTTTGACTGTGGCTATGTTCCCAAAGCTGCTGGAGCTACTGCCCTTTTTCATTGTGTGTTTTTGCCACAGTTGTCAAGATCAGCTCACGCACACTCGTGGCTTCGTCTGTGGGATTTGTGGTGCCCACGGCTCTCGGTTCATCCTCCACTAAGTTCCATACTGTTTCGATTACTGCACTTTGAAATCAGAAAGCCTCTAGCTTTCTTCTTCCTCGAGATTGATTTGGTTATTTATGATCTTTGTGATTCCATATTTAATTTAGAATATTTTTCTTAGTTTCGTAAAAGCTGCCATAATTTTCAGAATGCAGGTATGTCACCTTCCCAGGTGGATTTATCTCTGGGTCCCTGACCCTTTGGGTGCTGTGTTGAACTGGACAGTTTTCCAACCTCCTTTCAGATATTTTATCGTGGGTGTTTTCATATAACTTTAAAGACTGCATTTGTTAATTAGTTTTGGCCACATTAATTATAAAGAGCTTAATTAGGGTTCCTTTGAGAAAATTAAATGATTAATTTCAAAGGTTGTAGGCTTTAAGGTACATTATAATTATTACTTCACCAAATTTCATTGAAGAAGTTTAATTCACATAGCTGCCTGTGGATTACAAAAAAGTCTTTTGAAACCTATGAAGATGAAATGAATATTATTTTAGCACAGGCTTAGTTTTGGGGTGAATGCTGACATTTAATTCTACTGGTACTTCAATATTAATAAGGTGCTTTGATATGATACTGAAAGCCATAAAAAGCTGGTGTGTGTGTGTGTCAGTGGGAGAGAAACAGAGAGAGACAGAGACAGAGAGACTGAAGCTAGCACTCCATACACCACTGAGCTAGCATGCCCAGCCCTTCCTTACTTTGAGACAGGGTAAGTTGCCTAGGCTGGCCTCAAACTAGAAATCCTCCTGCCCTAACCTTCTAAATATCTAGGAGTACAAGTGTGCACAGGACTGTGCAGGGCTACAAGGTTACAATACATCCAGGAGGGAAAACAGAAGAAGTTTCAGACCATGAAAAATGTGCATTGCCAGCACGGTATCAGTCATTGACGTACTGTCACCTAACAAAGTCCCAGCTCTCCTAAACGATTTTCAATCACCCCACCCTCCTCACCCCAACCTTGTCCTAGAGTGGCAGGCCTCTGTGCTCGCCATCCCCCTGACCTAACAACCCGTCTGGAACTCTGGAACGCTTCCATCCGTTGCATCCAAAGATGCCAAGAAGAGTGATCTGTGGGGCCAGACAGTTGTGTGCAGACTCTGTGGGGACATTACTAGAGCAGAGCGCCTCCCAATCCAGCAAGTGTAACATTGCCCTTACTGATATTTAGTCGCATTAATTAGGCAAAGGTTAGTGTGTCCTTTTTAACACCATTGTGTATTATAATCCAAGCATTTAGGCTTTAGCGTGTGTAAGAAGTAAACCAGCCACAGAGTATAGGTCAGATGTCGTTAACTTACACCCAATTTTAATATTTGTTTATAATTTTGATTTTTTTTGGATGGGTCTCACTCTGCTGCCCAGCCTGTCTTGGAATTCACCATGTAACTCAGGCTAGACTTCCTGAGTAATTCAATTATGGGTGTGAGCAACCATGTGTGACAGACACATTTTAATTTTTTATCCTAACGACAAAAGTAAGGTTTTGCACTAATGTTAACTATACAGTGACTTAGGTTTGGCAATTTATACCTTAACTGTTTTATCACTTATGCAACTGATATTGTGTACCTTTGCTGGAATAAAACTTCAAAGTTTCCCCACACTCATGACATAACCATGCTTACGTGATGGACACAGGCACAACCAATGAAACCCAGTGCAGGGTTGGTTTGTTCGCACCGGCTACCGTCTGCATTGCTGCCCGTTCGCACCGGCTACCGTCTGTCTGCATTGCTACCCGTTCGCACCGGCTACCGTCTGCATTGCTACCCGTTCGCACCGGCTACCGTCTGCATTGCTGCCCGTTCGCACCGGCTACCGTCTGTCTGCATTGCTGCCCGTTCGCACAGGCTACCGTCTGCATTGCTGCCTGTTCGCACAGGCTACCGTCTGCATTGCTGCCCGTTCGCACTGGCTACCGTCTGCATTGCTGCCCGTTCGCACTGGCTACCGTCTGCATTGCTGCCCGAAGTTCCTAACAGGTGTGTGTACCTTTATTGACCACTGTGTGCTGTCTGTGTTTTTACCACAGGCCCTGAGCACCGCTCCCCTCCTTTTCTAGGAGTTTTTAGACTATTCACTGTGCTTGGGGTGTGGTGGGCTAGTGACAGGCACTTACTGATGTAGGAGTTGCTGGGGTCTTCGCTTTTAATGCTCTTTTTCCTGCTGACTTTCTTGGCATCCTTGCATGCTTTCCAATTCATTAGGAACTGCCTTTCCAGATTTTTTATTTCTTTTCCATCTAGAAATTCTGGAGAAGATATGTAAGTTAAAAGTGGAGCACAGCCCAGTAGTGGTGGCGCACACCTCTAATCCCAGCACTCGGGAGGCAGAGACAGACAGATTTCTGTGAGTTCGAGGACAACCTGGTCTATAGACTGAGTTCTAGGACAACCAGAGCTACACAGAGAAACCCTAACCCCCCTCCCGAAAAACAAATTTAAAAACCTCCAAAATTATATATATATATATAATAAAATGATATATACTTAAGGTTTGTTACATAAGTTACATCATAAGCTAAAATAAAGTTTTCCTTTAAAATACCTTAGACATGTTAGCTAATCCTATCATTCAGGAAATTGGGGCTGGACAATTACCATGAGTTTGAGAATGGCCCGGCTACTGTAATGAATTCTAGGTTAGCCTGGGATACAGAGCGAGATCTTGTTCCAAACAACAACAAAAATAGCAGTGTCAGGAATGGGTTACATCTTCTTGATTTGTTGCCTGAGAGGCACCACGGAAGCTCTCAAATATCACCGGCTATTGGTTGCTCTCCACAAACTGATGGTGCAGCCCTGTTGCTGAAGACAACGCTTAGGTATGTCATCTAACACGGAGCAGTTGAGCTGGTGCCCAGTCTGAGGCTTCACCCCTAACAACTACCACTCATGGTACTGAAAGGTACTCTGCATGCTACCAGAGTAGAGATACAATCCTATCCTCGCTACAAACCCTGCGACCTACAATGGTGACCTGCCCCCAGGATACGTTGATGCCATAGTGGCAGGAACACTTTTTGATGGAATCAGTGCTTGACACTGACAGGGTGGCCAAGATCCTCAAAATGGATAGGTAATCAGCCCCGGGGAAACTAAATGGTGGTGTTCTGCTCAAGGAACATAGCAATAAAATGACTCCTAATGGGACTCTGCTATACTCATAGATCAGTGCCTTGCGCAGCCCTCGTCAGAGAAGCTTCTTGTAGTAAATGGGAACTAACAAAGACCCACAAGGGGACAGTGTACAAAGTGTTAAAGCCTTCCCCGTCAGGACTCAGAGATACATACTCAAGAGGTGGCAGAAGTACTGTAAGGACCAGAGGTGATGGATAGGTCTAAAGAAACTGACTTCCAGACACAAGAGCGGTGCACATATGAACTCACAGAGACCATGGTAACAACATGCACAGGGCCTGCACAGATTCAAAGCAAACGGTCCCAACACTGAGATGCCGGCGTAGACATGGGCTCCCCCCACTACCAAGAATCTATCTGCAACTAATACCTGCTGGAAAATGGAAAAAAACAATCAGTTCCCTCTCAATGAGTCTCTGGGTCCCATGCCCAGAGCACAAAACAAACTCAGTGGTATTTTTGCCTTATTTTCTTTGCTTGGGCATTTTTTTTTTGTCCCATTGGTCTTTTGCTTGTTTATTTTCCATTTTTTATGTTTTTGTTATTTTTAAGAGAGAGAAGGCATGGCATTGGATGTGTGGGGAGGGGAGGGATTTTTGGGAGGTGTAGGGGAAGGGGGAAACCTGATCAGAACATATTGTGTGAAAGAATTTGTGTAGAAAAAAGTCCTTATTCACACACTTATTTTTAATTTATGCTCTTACTCATTTCATTTTTGTGATGTGGTGTGTGGCTGTGTATGTGTACCCTCTTGCGTGCTTGCACACGCGTGCATGGGTGTGTAGAATGCAGAGATTGCTGTCAAGCTTTATCGATCTTTGAGTCAGAGTTTCTCGTTGAGTCTGGAGCTTACCAGCTGGAAGGACCAGCTCCTCAGTGGGTTCCAGGGAACCTGTGGACTTCCTCCCCAGAGCTGGTATCACAGGCAAGAGCACCCACCATTCCTGGCTCTTCGCATGGCTTCAGGGGATCCGAACTTAGATCCTCATTCATAACAAGCGCTTACTGACCGCCTCTCTTACATTTGTTGAGTTTTTATTTTTCTAATTTAAAATAGAATATGCCACTTATTACAAGGACTGGGGCATGATGAAAGAACAGGAAAAGTGTCGTTCATTACCCACACCCTGCCTTCCCATCACTGCCAAGGATGCTAAGGTCACATGACAACCATGCCGTCTTTCAAAGTAGAAATCTTATTATAAACAAAAGTGTTTTTATAAACTTAATTATTGGTCTTAGAAAATAGTAATATAAAAGACAGGTATACCAGCACACGCCTTTAATCCCAGCACTCAGGAGGCAGAGGCAGGTGGATCTCTAAGTTCAAGGCCAGCCTGGTCTACATAGAGAGTTCCAGAACAGCCAGGGCTACACAGAAAGACTGTCTCAAAAAACAAAAAACAAAAAACAACAAAAAAAAAATTAAGAGAAAGAAAGGAAAGGAAAGAAAAAAAAAAGAAAAAGAAAAAGAAAAAGAAGAAGCCGAGAGGTGGTGGCTTACGCCTTTAATCCCAGCGCTGGAGAGGCAGAGGCTGGCAGATCTTTGTGAGTTTGAGGCCAGCCAGGTCTACAGAGTGCCAGGACAGGTTCCAAAGCAATACAGAGAAACCTTGTCTCAAAAAAGCAAACAAACAAAAAAGAAAAGAAAAAGAAAGAAAAAGAAAAAAATTCTATAAAATTTTAAGCACATCTTATTTTTATAACATGGTAAAGCCTTAATAATGCTTATTATGGCTGGCCTATGGGCTGTAATAGGACCAGCCTCCAGAGCTGGCCTATTGGTTTTAGGAGGTGAGAATTCAGCTATCATTACATTTTACTCCTTTAAAAAGAGGTTTTAAAATTCAGGTTATTCAGTTAAAATTACAATACAAGTACAATTTGTATAATGTAACATATTTGGAAAAATATAAAATACCAAAAAATTAAAATTTATTCTATAATGAGAAATAATCATTTGTGTACACTGACAGAGGCTACTTTAAAATATTTATTGGCAATGTTTTGTTTCTATGTGTGTTCATCTATTTGTTATATATTTATATCTATATTTATGTGTATAGATGGGTACCTTATACATAATGGAAGTCTCTATGGATAAAGCTTCACATATTACTTTAAAAATATTTTATTGTAACCAGGAGTAGTGGGGCATGCCTTTAATCTCAGAACTCTGGAGGCAGAGCCAGGGGGATCTCTGTGAGTTTGAGGCCAGCCTGGTAGGTGAGTTCCAGGACAGCCAGCCAGGGCTACACAGAAAAACCCTGTCTCAAACATATATATGATATATTAAGCATGGATATTCTGTAGGATACTGAACAAGTCCCTTACTTTGTTTGACCTATGTTACCTATGCTATAAAGTGGTTTGTGTAGCCTTTATTTAATAAACAGACCATTTTCCAACAATGGGTCTGCACAGTTTGTAGACCACCCTTCACCACTTATGTGATGTCTCCCACTGAGTCCAGAATGTCATAGGAAACAGCAAAGTTTTTTCGGTCACGTTCTTTCAGGGAGCCTGAGAATACTCTAATAAAATGTCAATCCTACTGCTGAAGTATTAATGCTGCTACTTAAATACTTGTAACACTGGGTTTTATTTAAAGTATAAAATCACTGATAAAACTGAGAACAGGGTAGTCTGTCCCTCATCCACAGGCGACAGACTCTGACTCCTTAGGAGCAGTGAGAACCCAGGCCCCAAAAGTGCCACATCCATCCTGCACATGCGCACCTGCGATAACGCCCAACTTAGGCAGAGATGGCTCACTACCAACAGGGCAACTGTACCCCTGGCATGTCACGTAAGCGATGTAGACATGCCCTTTCTCCAAATACCTTACTGCGCTGCGTGCAATGCATTTTCTAACTGTGGCTGCAGTCTCTGGAGGTGTAATCAATTAATGTTTTCTACGCCTTTCTTAACTAAGAAGTCGGCAAGATGTTTTGCCACCATAAAGATGATCCCTTTATGCTCAGTTTTCTCAACTGCTTGTCTTTACTGATGACTTTAGATGTTTGCTCTTGTGATAATTACATAGTGTTCTAGTGCATATGGGGTGACTATATTTATAGTCTTGAAAAAGCAGGTGACTGACATTGGTTAGTGAGACTTATTTCATCTTAATGATTTTCTCTCAACATTTGTGTCCACCCATGTTATGTCAACCAAATTTGTAGCGTTTGTTGAGGACTGGGTAAATTGTAAAACATGAAATGGTCAGTACTCTTTTAACATTTTTTTAAACTATTGTTGTTGTTTTGTTTTAAACTTGGTGAAAAGAAGAAAAATAAGGATGAAAAAGACAAAAAGTAAATGATTTACCATGTGTATACATGTGCATAGACTTGGAAGACATACACTAAAGTTTTAACACCAGAACTGATGGTGAGATCCAGAGTGATTCATTTTTCTTCCCTATATTTTTTCCTCTGTAGTGCTAGGGATAGAACTAGGGGCTTGTGCATACAAGGCAGGCCCTGTACCACTGTACTTCATCAACCCAGTGCTTTTAAAGTATTACTCTTGTAGTCACAAAGTGTGTTATAAGAAGGCTTCTGTAAGACAAACTTGAAATAATTTTTGCTGTCAGAAATCAATAGACTTCTCTGTGCCTTTTACAATTGTTCATATGGAGAAGTGTTTGTTTTGTTTTATTTTGTTTTTCCTTTTTGGTTTCTCTGTGTATTCCTGGCTGTCCTGTAACTCTCTCTGTAGACCAGGCTGGCCTTGAACTCAGAGATCCATCTGTCATTAAAGGCGTGCACCACCACCACTGTTTGGCAAGAAGTGATTTTAAAATTGGAATTTTTTAATCTTCTCCTCTCCCTCTTCTCCTCCCTCCTTCCTGTCTGTCAGTCTGTCAGTCTGTCCCAGGGCCTAATGAGTGCTAGGCATGTACTCTATCACAAGCCCATATTGGGATGTTGTTTTTGACCTTGGGTCTCACACTCTAGCTCCGGCTGTCTTGAAACTTGACATGTAGAGTAAGTTGTCTTTGAATTCACAATTCTCTTGCCTCTGCCTCCCAAGAGTGAATTTAAAGGCACGGATCACCACCCTGGCTTCATACTGCATTACTCTTACTCATTAAATCAGTCGCATATACTTTTTCCTCCGGCTGAGGAGAGCAGAACAATGCAGCTGAGTGTGGCATCGGAAGTGAGAGGGTGGGGTTGCGGAGTCATCGGCACAACGTTTAAGACATGACACCATTCGTCCCCATGTATTGTTTGTTCCCTGCCGTTGTGGCCTATGCATAGCACCGGTGTGTGCGTGCGCATGTGCGCGCACGCGCACGCACACACATATACACACACACATACACACAATGCTAGACTTCACTTGATCTGCTTTCCCCACACTAGAATCACACACCAGCACTGTGATTAACTAGCTATGAGTTTTGAAGTTGTTGCATCATATTTTAGTTTTTATCAATTCTTATATTCAAGTATGGCATGCCCCAGAGTTCTGCTCCAGGAAACTCTCCCACAAGGCTCCTTTTGTGATACTGTCGCTCTGATGCTATGTAACTTCGTTTCCAACAACCAAGTGTTTTGGCTGACTTTCCCCAGTGCAGGGCACACTTAGGAAGGTTATTGTTTGCAAGGATTTTATAAAACAACCCACTATCCCCTTTCCAATGACGGGTACTATCTATGTGGCAAATGACACGTGAACAAACTTTGATCAGTTTATCTGCAGGACCAAGAGCTAAGGAGTCTAAGGGCCTGGCAGGGCCCTTTCCTCGTTCAAAGGAAAGTTTAACACATTTGTGGCTAACCAGCTTTGTAGGTAGTGGCCACATTTTCTCCTAAAAGTGTGCCTGGTGTATGTTTATGAATCGAAATGTTTTCAAGTATTACTTCCTGTTTTTACCTTTGCTATTACTCAGACATACACATTTAAGCTAACTTGATTTCTTGAGCCGGATATTAGATGTATATTTCTGAAAGCTAGATGATGAATTAATTTTAAAAAAGTTAAACAAGTGTGCTTTTCTCCAAAAAAGTTGGACGAATGCACAGCACTACTCACCCAATGACTTGGACATCAGTATCAGTTTGTCCCTGTATTTTGGTTTAAGACAAACAGGATTTCCATTTAGATCCATTTTCCACAGCTTCATCAGTTTTTTCAGTAAAACCTCCAAATCCTACAATCAGGGAAGAGAAGGGAAAGCGTGGGATTTCCTGACTACCAGCACTTCTCATGCTAACTGCTCTTCACAGAGTTCAAGCTCCTCAAGTAGAGCGAGCAATGACCACTGGCTTTGTCTACACCAGCCGGGGGTTAGCTAAGGAGGAGGCGAAATGTGATGTCAAGGGTAGGGGTCACAGCACTGCTGGCTCATGTTGTCCTTGAATCAACCCAATCTGAAGCTAAGAGAACACGTTTTCTCCAGGAGACGCCTCATTCTCAGCGGGTTCATCAGGGTTTACACACTGAGCGATGGGAAGGGAGTGAGTGAACACTCGGACACTCCGTTAGCCTCTGGAAGGAGCAGGGAGCAGCAGAGTTCCAGCCTGTTGATGCCTCCAGGCTGTGCCCGTGCTCCAGACTTGCAGATTTCAGGAGTGCCACACATGGGTCACGCGTGCAGGAGAGGATCTTTGGTGATGCAGCTGCCTCTGAGTCATTTCCGGTCCTGTAAATAACCCCTTCCCCATCTTCCTGTAAGCACCCCAAAAAAACTCATTGGCTGTCAGCATTCTAGGCAATATACATGGTTGCCTTTTTTTTTTTTTTTTAAATGAGGAATGTGGGGATAGCCTATCAAACTGCAGAACAGAAAAATACAATTACTTGCCCGTTTATCACCCAAAGATCACATTGAACACACTGTTACATGCCCTTCCAATCTTTGGGAGGCATGAGGACTTCTTTTGAAATTATGATCTTATTGTGGTTACAATTTTCTTCTATTTTTTTGTTGTTGCTGCTTTTTCGATAGGGTCTCATTATTTAGCCCTAACTAGCCTGGCACTCAGTCTGTAGACCAGGCTGGCCTAGAACTCACAGAGATCCACCTGCCTCTGACTCCCCAGTGCTGGGATTAAAGGTGTGCACCACTACGCCTGGCTTACTGTCTTTATCTATAAAGTGGCTACACTTAGAATTAATTGCCATGGCACATAAAGTGCCCAGAACAAGACCGGTAAGCACATGCTTATGTCCATATATTGCCTTTTTGCCTGCCCAGCTGTCCTTCAGCTAAGTCCCTGTCTCTTAATTTTGACTATCAGCAAAACTTAAAGACTAAACTTTTGACCCATTGACCAACAAGTCATTATCTTCATGTAAGAACGTGGCATCCAAAATTATAACCTCGGCCCTCATTCTTGGACCTTAGATCTTGCTTGCTTTTTCTGAAACATGTGTTCCACATTTAACATAGCCATGCTTATTTTATGCAAGAGTTCCATATTTCTCTTACTCTAAAAGCCACAAGGAAGGGACTGTGTGCTGTGCATTTCATATGATGTCCACCACAAGAGAACTTTAGACTGATACAGATAAAACAATGCTTGGAGTTTTGTTAATTATTCGCCACTTGATAAATGACCCTGGACTACTCCCTCCAGTGTATGTTTACTTAAGGCTAAACTAATCCTGTTCTGAAATACGATTACCCTTTGGATACGCTCCGGTTGTTCATTGCCTTCCTGTCCTTCATAAAATGCTTTCACTCTCCTGCCCTTCAATAAATTACTCAAGGAACCAGACACTTCCCTGGACAGTCTCTGTTTGATAAATGATCATGTCATACTATCGCTTAGAGGAGTGTTGCAAAACTCGGAGGAGCCAATTCCCTTTCCCCTGTAGGCTGGTACCCTGGCCCTGCATGGGTGTCTGGAGCAGGCCATGTTCTCCGCTTTAATGATGACGGTGATGAACCTGTATTTGATCAGCACGCTCCAATCTTTATCGGGAACGTCTGGCCCAACTGTCCTTACTAAGTCTAAAGACAGCCATTTGTCATCCCTCTGACTGCCTGTCATCATCTGCCTGAGAAAATCTATAATTTTTGGCTTGTTCCTGACTAAAGTGTGGAATGAATAAATTTATCTTTGGGCCATGCTTGCTTGCCAGGATCAATATTGAGCTGAGGTTGAATAAATTAGTAACTAAGAAAACATGACAGGCTATGGTGGTTTGTGTATTATAAATCAAACATTTAGTTTATAGAAGAGGCGGGCATGACAAGTTTTTTACTTTTCCCATTCATTCTGAAGGTCCTATACCTCATGATAAATGGCCATCAGAAAACCAATAGAGCAATCACTAATGAATCTGACTGTGGATGAACTCAGGTCGTTTGATTGATTTGGCAAACTTTGCAGACACAAAAACTGTGGCAAAGATTAAGGATTTGTGTTGTTTTTCTTCCAAGTTTTGTTTTGTTTGCAGTTTTGGGCATGCAGTTGACTTTGTATAGCATTAGCAACGTGGATGACGTTGGCGTACTGAAGCTCATGCCTCAACCTCTACCCACAGGCCACTTGCATAAATGTATGCTGAACTATAAACCATTAAAATATTTGGTGTCTTTATACATTAAGACACGCCTCTTTAAGGAGGTTACAGGAAACGCAAAACAAAAAAAGGCATGCAATGTCATTTAAAGTAGAGCCCCATGACTTAAGATTTATCATCATCATCATCAGGCTTGAAACTTCTCTTTCTTCTCGTCCTCAGCAGATGCCCTCGATCCGATCCGTATGCTTCACCGATGTCTCCTGCATGCCATCTCACACCTCTTCTCCTGTTTCATTCCCCTCAACTAAGGAAGAGCGCCCTCTTTCCCTGCTAATCGGCTTTGTCATCCTGGCTGTCTCCTCTGGGGACAGAGGAGTCTGTTACATCTTCATATTCCGTCTTCCTTCTCTGGCTCTTAGCCTTTCTTTTATCTACCATCACCAGACCGGTTGACTTGTGCCTTTCAAAGTCCTTTGCGCATAGGAATCACCAAGGGGCGGGGGGTCTGGGGAAATGGTTCAGTGGGTAAGTGCTAGGACCTAGTGTACCAGCTGCCCAGACTCCCAGAGTCTCACCACAGCCGTGGGGATCACCTCTGCGTGGCTTTGGGGTGTCCCCCAACAGACAAAGCTGGGCCTGGGTGCATTCATTGCCAATCATCAATCAGGACGCTGCCGGCCGAAGCGTGCGCTGCGGAGTAGAGAGCTTGCCATCAAACCTGACTACCTGAGTCCAGCTTTGGGGTCCCACAAGACTGAAGGAGAAACCTCTTATAAGTTGTCCTCTGCACAACATACATGCTACGCACACACGCACAAATAAAGAAGAAATGTAACTTTAACCTTGTCTAAATGCATGTCCTGAGCATCGTGTCTGGGGAAGAACTCATGACTCTGCTGTTGGCTGTGAGCTACGGTTTGGACCCATTGATTCCTTCTTTTCTCAACCACTGGGCACTCTCACGGGCTGAACAGACCCTGAGAGCCGGATCAGGGAATCAAATGTTACCAAGCATTAAAATTTTAAGTCTCATTTCTTTGGGGCATCATAATCTGTGGACCACTCACTTATCCCGTGTGGATCTCCATTCCATTAGGCTACACAGAGCCTCCAGGAACCTGTGGCTCTTCTATACTTGACATCTGGCTCACAGAAGAGGCTACATCCACAGAGACAAGTTTTCCTCCTGTAGTCCACCACTATGCCCCTTTGCTTAAACCTTCACAGAAAATAATTCCTCCTTCCGTGTTTGCATCCATGGCGGCTGCATTTGCATTGACAGTCTCTGTGCCGTATGGAGCCTCACACATACAACTGTTTGTTTTTCTGGAATGTCTCAAAGACATTCCAACTCTGCATGATCAACATTCATGGTCTCCTTGCTCCCCAAACCTGACGCGAGAGCGTTCCACGTCTCGTTTACTCTGCTCAACGTCCCCTGTATCCAACTCAGAAACACTTTCTGCTTTGCTCACTCCGTTTTCACCCCCAATGCTAAGGTTTCTACTACTTCTCATTTCTTAGTTGGCCTGGCTTCTTCCCATCTGTTCTTCACACCCTAGTTAAGCAGAGTCTTTTCGGAATGCTAACATCTAATTACTTCACACCTTCAGTGGTTGCTGGTGCTCTTAGAATACACACAAAACTCTGTTATAGGCAAGGCAGCTGGTCCGTCCACAGCTTTTCTTTGGACTGTGTTCTGCCTTCACTCTCTCGGCTTCCTGTGCCCCTGTTTGAAATGTGTATGTTTGCCTTTGGGGGCCATTCCCTGGCCTGTAAGTATTTTCTAAGATCGCACTTCAGGTAACCCTTCTCAAGGACATCTGCCATCTTCACCAACTAATGCGAATCTTCCCACTACAAGCATTTGGGACCACCCCTCCCCTCCTGCAATTTTCACTCTACTTTTGCCCCTGGTGATCACGCGCTGAATGTTTTCCTTCCCTTTAATACTAAGGGTTTCTCAAGGACCGGCTGTGGTCTCCACCATTGCCTGGCTGGCACAGCCACAGGGTAGGTTTTTTCAGTGGATGAAGAGAGATGAATAAATAATAGAGGACAGAGGCTGTGGTGTCAGAAGCAGGATAGGCATTAAAGGCGAGAGGTAGCACCGAACGGCCTGTGGAGCCATTCTTTATTCAAGGGTACACACACGGGAAGAGAAGGAAAGACGGTTCTCTTTCTCGCACTTTCTGTTCCGCATCTTGCCCACCCTCTTAATTTATTCTTGCCTACAAGTCCATGACCTGGATCGGCTCTGGAGAGATGAGGGCAGCCGGAGAACAACGTGGTGGAAGGAAGACTCCCTGACGCTCTAGGTCTGGGGAGTGAGGGGAAGGGGACCCAGGTAGGCAGAGACGAGCTATGGCCATGTTCTAAAGCCCCAGGGCTGTGCCTTGGCTTCTAATGCGCTCACTTCATGTAGGCTCTTGGGCCATCAGTAAATGAGGACACGGTCATGGTCCATGAGTGTCTGTGTTTCCTAGCAACTCAATTCTTTCTTGTTTTCTTCCCTCCCCCAAACCCCCACAGAGCACAAAGATTTCAGTAGCCTGGTGGGCTTTGTAGTATCTTTTTCCTTGCATGTGTTTTTAGGAAAATTCCCCTTGATAGCTAGTCTTCTTTTTCATTGTTCAAGTTGATTGAAAGACTCAGTAATAATCATTCCAAGAGATCGTTATTTTCTACTTTTTAAAAAATGATTTTCCATGCCAAAATATATTATAAATGCTATTATTTTCTACTTTATGATACTACATAAAAATCCATGAAGATTAATAGAATTTCTTAGTTATAATACAATAATTATTTATTATTAGAATCTATTATGATTATTTAATAAAATGAGTAACTATAGAGTTCATTTGTAATTATATATTTGAATTGAAATTCTGAATTTTTATTTTTAGAGATGCCCTAAGTTCTCAGCAGAAGCAACCATTTTCACACCCTATTTCCCGTGTGGTAACTACACTCAGTTGTTTTTGTGTGTGGCTGGCTCATTTATGGGCCTGCCAGTGTCTGTCCAGAGGCAGCTGCTCTAAGTGCTGAGCACTTCGGGGAATTATCATGGTGCCCCGCCTTCTCTAACGAAGGCTGCCTTTTCCCCATGGCACAAAGCTGTCCGTTGCTGACAACCTTTTGGATGAAGTCAGTGACCTTATTCATGGCATGAGGGACCTCTTCCACAAGGCATAGCGTTTACCAGCGGGTTAGGGCAAAAAACAGCAAACTTGAAGCCAGAACATAGAGATCTTGGATTGAGAATACATACAAAGAAAGAAGTTAATACTCAGATGCTGTGCTCCAAGACCATCTTTGATTAAGCCCTCACGAGAAGATTGAAAGCACAAAATCTCATTCAGATATATCCTGGGCAGGGTCTATAATCAGATTCCAATAAATTGAGTCTAGGTTCATATTTTGTAAGCAACTTGACATTTCTCTTGCAGATTTCAATATCCCTTTTTTGTTCTATACTTTTGACATTGTAACTATACTACAATGTGAATGAGTCATTTTTCTTGTCCTGTCTTTTTGATATGCATTTCTTTCCCTAGATTTGGGGAGATTTCTGCTATAATGTCATTGAATAAGTTTTTCTATGTCTTTACTTTTTTAAAGCTAGCATAGAGTGCTTAACATTTTATTCTTGCACCCTGAAAATTCTATGGGTTCTACCTAAAAATACACCCTAACACACCCACTCCTCTTCATCTCCAAGCAACCATCATCTAATTTTCTCAAACACATTATCTTACTTGTTGCCTCTAGTAGCTTCCCAATGCCTGGCTTTGCTTTTATTCTTGAAACTCGTCGCTTTTCAAATACGTTCCTTCCAATGACTGTTGCCTCTGCACTTAGAATTAGGTCATAATTATGTCCTGTGAGGTCCTTCTGACCTGTCCTATGTCTTTCTTTCTACACTTGATCTTAGCCAAAATGCCAAGAAGCAATGTGTCTGTCTTTCTGATCTCATATTTGCGGTGTTGCTTGGGTATTACTAAACCTTTTGGACACCTGTGATGTATCAGAAATAAGGGCTAGCCCTGCAGTCCCTACCACAGTGAAGTTGACCTCTTTTTGGTCCTTTGAACATCCCAGAGCGTTTCAGAGAAATGCATCTGTTATCCCTTATGCCTGGCATGTTCACCATCTAGCTTTCTTTTCTCTTTGAGGCAGTCTTGCTATGTAGACCAGGCTGGCCTTGAACTTTTATCAGTCATACTATCTTTGTCTCTCAAGAGTTGGGATTACAGGTATGTGCTACTGTGTCCAGGTTGTAACATTCTTGAGGCCTGAACCGAATCCTTCCTTCCTCAGTAGGACAATGGCAGACACATAGCTGGATGATCAATGCACTGACATGGTATGGTACAATTTAATAAGCCATGGGCTTCACTAGTGCAAATTAGAACAAGTTACTGTCTCTGTCCCCCCCCCCACATAGTATCAGGGTATCTCTAGGAATGGTGACAGTTCCTAGAAACTCATCCACTGGGACCACAGGGTTAAAGAAGAAGAAACTTTGCCTCTAAAAGAAAAAGCTTAGCTGGATGTTGGTGGCGCATGCCTTAATCCCAGCACTCAGGAGGCAGAAGCAGGTGGAACTCTGTGAGTTCGAGGCCAGCCTGGTCTACAGAGCGAGCTCCAGGACAGCCTCCAAAGCCACACAGAGAAACCCTGTCTCAGAAAAAAACAAAAAATAAATAAATGACTTAAAAAAAAAAAGTTTGATGGACAAATAATGTAGACAGGAAAAGGCCCTTAGCTCCTCAGAGAAATTTGCATTTGGTTGGCAAAATATGGAGATGTTGGGTATGAAGAAGAAAACAGGGAAGAAGACACAAATGGCTATATGTAAGAAGTAGAGATTGAGAAGATAACTTTAGAATAAATACAGAATAGTTCTTTAAAAGGTGACACTTTATAAGTATTTTTTGTTTGTTTTTGTTTTGGTTTTCGAGACAGGGTTTCTCTGTGTAGCTTTGGAGCCTGTCCTAGAACTCACTCTGTAGGCCAGGCTGGCCTCAAACTCACAGAGATCTGTCTGCCTCTACCTCCCAAATGCTGGGATTAAAGGTGTGTGCCACCAGTGCCCGGCAACATTTTATAAGTATTTCTAAGCACATCTTAAAACCACAGTGCCAAGCGCGATTGACGATGACTCCGGGCACATTACCTTCACGTGCATCAGCTGGTTGTCAACAGCGATCAGGTGATTAAGATTCTCCAGTGTCTCTAAGTCTTTGATGTCGTCAATGTTATTGTTGCTGATATTCAAAATAGAGAGGGATTTCTGGAAGGAAAGCAAGGATGTTAGTTAGCATCAGTAAGTCACACAGGCACTACAGATCAGTCCTTAACAGCAAGAAACAAAGGCACAGATTATGTGCCCATGTTCTCAGTATGAACTTCTGGAACCCTAGAGTGTGATGTAGCTGACTCTAGCCGCTAGTTTGCTCCCCAAGCTCTATGCTCCTCCTCTGGGATACAATATAAAGTAACAAAGCTTCAAATTAAAAAGAAAAAAAAAAAAGGCAGTAAAAATGACAGCTCAGAGTAGACGAAATGTTTACTGTAGCTTAAGCACATGAGTGTTCTGCGCTGAATATCATACAGGGAAACAGTTAGGTGGCCTGGCGTGGAACAACATCTGGGTTTTACTTTTATCATTCCCTCTTTAGTTTTCTCTTGATAGTTCATTTGTTCAGAAGGCACTGAGATGATAATGATGATGTCAGTGTTAGCTAATAAAAGGAAAACAGAAATATACTATATGGCAATATTAAATACACAATCTTAAACTCTGAGGCTTGGGACTCTCTGGCAACTCTATCCACCAAGACAGCAATATATAGTCAACCTTCAGGAAAGATTCCTGACATTTAGAAGATGTGATTAGTTTCTATTATTTGTACAAAGTAATATAACTCATTATGGCATTTTTGTGCATGCTATAATGGGCTTTGGCTGTACCCCTGCCCCCCTCCACACACACACACTGGCCTTTTCTGATCCTGCCACTAGTACTTTTTAAGATGAGATAATTGAAAAAAAAAAATAATGCTTTAATATTTAGAATTTCGGAATCTGCTTGAATCCGTGCAAAAACTACACTGGCAGAAAGGTTTTCAGTGGTGTTCTGAGAGAAAACTTAAAGAAAGAAAATGCCTCTTGGAGGCGCTGGGGTCTGACAAGATCACTGTTAGTGTTAGCGAGGCCTTACAGGCCCTGCCACAAGGACTCCTTCTGGTGGGCATTTTCTGTAAATAAGCAGAAGACACTGGGGGAGGGTATAATTTGACTCCTAACTGGAGCTGTTGGACGCTCTCTTGCCTGACAACCTTTAGCAAAAGGTATGCCTACCAACTACCTAGCCAGAGCACCCATATACTAACCAGCATCAACTAGTTTTAACATTTTCTCAACTACCTTGAGAAAATGGCATGATGACCGCTGCTCATTGCCCTACCCCTTAAAGGTGCAGGACTGCTTCAGATAGTTGATACCAGACATTTTGCTGACACAACCCTCTATGAATTGTAGATGACCTTGCAACTGTTTCCATGGAGGCAGGAGGAAGCAATTGCTCCTCCTGGTCCAGCAGAGGGACCACTGTCCCTGATGCTAAACAGGCAAAGCAGTGATTGATGCAAACCCAAATCTCTATTTATATGCAGAGTGTGCAAGCACAGGCCTTCATTTGCATGCAAGATGCGAGGTGATGGGTCTAAGCATCCTTTTGGGGGCTATGTGAACCAGTTCACTTACTGAGCCAGCAGGGAGACGGTGTTTCTCACCGCTGTTGGCACACTAGGTCTCCTTTTCTTGCCTATTTGTAGCTGAAATGGCAATGCAAGGAGGAAGCTGCGAAACAGCAAGCAGCGCCTGCAATAGCTGAGCAATTGACAGGTAGAGCTGCAAGGGTGGCAAGGCAGCTAGCTGCATGCTGGCAGCTGCAGAGGCAGCTGGGCAGTTTGAGTGTGGCCACAGCAGGAACAAAGGGAAGAGAGGATGTGTGGCAGATGAAGAGGATGGGAAGCTAAGCTGAAGGCTACTGAACTACAGAGGAGAGGCTGAAGGACCTGGGCATTGGAAGAGTTCTCAGGAACTGCCAAACCTTTAGCAACAAGGATCCCAGACGTCCAGTCCCAAGAGCTGTAAACACGGCTGCACTCAAGTGCTGAGGAGCCCTGATACCCAGGAGCTGCCACATCAGTGGTTTCAAGGGCTACAGAACCACAGCTTCATAGGCTGTATTACTTAAAGAGCTAAGGGTCCCCAGTCCCAAAGCTCACCACTGTCTATCATGGAGCTACCAAGAGCCCATAATCTTCATCACTCAGGAGATGGAGGCAGAAGGATCACAAGTTCAAGGCCCACGGGGGCTAGACTCAGATCAGGGCCACCCTGGGCAAATTTAGTGAGGCCTTGTCTCAAAGCACAGGGTAGAAAGAGGGCTGTGGACACTGGAGCACTCCCATGGCTCCTACTCAGTCCGCACCAGGTGCGAGGCCCAGGTCCTCCTGCGCAATTCACTTCACAAAGCAAACACCCGCCAAAGACCAGACTGGCACAGCTTTTCCTGGCGCCTATGCTTTCCACCCAGGAAGAACAGAATCCCCAGGGAACTACTGACTGGTAACATGCCTACTTGTCCCCTCCGTGGGGCTGGTCTCCGTGTGCAGCTGAGGTTGAGCTGTGGCCGCTTGTGACAATGCAATAGAGTCCATGGGGAGTGGGTGGCAACTGGGCCACTGCCTTCCTTTCTAACTCAAAGGATCACTTCGCAGTTGTCTAAGAAACAAGCCCCTTCCATTCCTGGGCCCTCTAAATCAAAACTGATGGAGTCTGTACAACTCTGTCCCCTTTATAAATCTCCTAGCCCAGAACCCAAGGTACTGTGACAAAGACCCATGTGGATATTAGGACTACCAGTGAATCTCACAGGTGAGTCCGCACCTCACCTCAGCAGCATCCTGACTCAGGTGGGCCTGAATTAGAGCTTTGGTTCACACAACCTGTTCACACACTCCTTTCTGTCCTTTGAGTTAGAAAGGAAGGCACACCAGCCTGCTTTATAGTACTGTCTGTCATACTGAGAGACTGCATGAGAAAATCAACGTCGACCCTCTAGTTTTCAGTGGGCAGATAAACAGGAAGATCATGCACACACTCCAATACGCCCTCCCCACCCACCGGGACCTATCCATCACTGCAATCTGTCCAAACTTTCAATAGGGCCTTACTGCCAGCGAACGGAGAGTCCTGGGGTCAAACAGAAGCTTCTCTCCCAGGGGAAGCCTCTGACTTTCAACATGAAGCTCTCTCAGTTCTTCCAAACCTTCCAGACCTTCTATGACTGCAATGTAATTGCCTCCCAGATACCTGCAAAACACAGACATGGCCTCCAATGGATTTTCTGAGGATGCCGTGGGCTTTAACTGATGAAACTAGATTCTAGGAGGGCAGGGGAGGCGGTCATGGGTAAACCACTTGCTTTGCAAGCATGAGGACCTTAGTTTGAGCCCTCAGAATCCACACAACGTGGTCCTGCAACCCTAGAGCTCCTTCGGTGAGATGGCCGATGGAGACAGAATTCTCAGGAGCTCACGGGTCAGCCAGCCCAGAACATGAAAGAGACCCTGCCTCGAACAGGATGGGAGGTGAGGACCAACCCTGGAGATTGTTCTCTGACCACCACATGCTCATACCTGCTTTCACACACAAGAATGTGTGCACATGTGTGTGCACGCACAACACACACACAGATAAAAAATATAAGCACAGGATGTTATCTTTCTACTGAACCTATGCAAGCTTCATCTAAATCACAAACTGTATTGTTGCACTTGATTTGGTCTAGAACACATCAACTTTTTTACATTTTTCAGTTAGCGTTGATTAATTGTACATTAGGGTTTCATTAGGATATTTCATATAAAATATTCATATTCATATATAAAATACGAACTTCAGCTTTTTCAATGAGAGATCAGAGTAGTCCACACGAACTGTCTCCCATACCTCAGGGTGTGGAAGAGTCGTCCAGCTATGGCTGGACCTCACTCCCACCATCTGCTTGGATATCTAGATTGGATCTCAGCAGCCTGCATTTAGGGACAGTTTTCCCATCACACCGTTCTACCCCCTTCTGAAGACCACAGCTCACTTTTAGAAAAACATGCTAGCTATCCAATCAGGGAACTTGGATCTGTCAGTCTTCATTGTCTAGTAATGATAAATTTAAAGAAGATTTTAGTTTCAGTTTATGTATATGGGTGTGTGTGTATGTGCTCTCTCCTCCCCTCCTCTCTCTCTCTCTCCTCCCCTCTCTCTCTCTCTCCTCCCCTCCTCTCTCTCTCTCTCTCTCTCTCTCTCTCTCTCTCTCTCTGTGTGTGTGTGTGTGTGTGTGTCTGTGTACGTGTGTGTTCATGTGTCCTCAGAGGCCAAAACAGGGCACCAGAGCCCCTGGTGCTGGCGTTACAAACAGCCGTGAGCAGCTGACAAGGATGCTAGGAACTGAACTCAGGTTCTCTGTGAGAGCAGTGCATACAATTAACCACTGAGCAATCTCTCTAACCGCCCTAGTAATAATTATCAGCGATTACTTTAAACAATCAAATCTATATTGGTTTATGATCTTACCCTTTTGAAATCAAAGCCCCTTTGTGATTGTGAAGAGCACAAGACCCACCTGAGCTCCATGAAAACGAGCCAAGTGAACTTATGTGAGAATGCTTTATTCCTAGTAGCTCATTAGACAATTTACACTACCCACCAAAATACAGGTAGATCAAGCTGTTTTGATTTTTGAGATAGGACTTCATTATGTAGCCCAGGCTAACCTTGAATGTTCAGAATTCCTCTTGCCCCAGACTTCTGAGAGCTGGGATTACAAGTATGAGCCACTATGCCCACCTTATCGGGTTTAATAAATTATATTATATATGAGTATATTAAATATAATAGAGTAAAATCAAAAGTGAGACCTGTTCCATGAAACTTGTGAGAATCAGACTTAATCATACATTCACTTTAGCTTTGCAACCTAATGTAAACATTGGAAATATTTGCCTGCATAGAGTATGCACAAGAAAGATAGCAAGAAGTTAAGAGAATTTACAAATAAAAACACTTACAGTTTTTCTAGTTTCTTTAGTGACCTGAGGTTCTCGATGCAGGAAATGCAATTATTCTGCAGGTACAAGTGTGTCAGATTTGTGGAATAATTCAGGTTAGTGATGTTACTAATGCGGTTATCATATAAATATAAAACACTCAGGTTTCTGCAAAGAGAGAGGTCATCCTGAAAAGAAGCAAAAACAGGCCCTATTTATTTTTCCCTGAAAGCTCAAAAAGTTGAGTTTTAAGAAAAATGTTTACTTTGGCATTCTGCAAATCCCCCTAAGGCTCTTATAAAGTAACATCTCTCTGTGCTTAGCACACTCAAAATAAGATTGTAGTGGTCACAAAGGAATGTGGGGCTTTAGAGTTCTGTAACTTTTCCATGACAACTGCATTTCTTAAGATTTCTTAAGCAATTTTCCTTGGAAGCAATTAGAGACTCCCCTAAAAGTTGAAGCAATGAACAAATTATTGTCCAAACATTACAAAGCCAGGCTTAATCTTTCTGTCAGATTGGAATGAAACTCTTACCGCTTCTAACACTGAAAACTAGAAACCATCCAATAGTCAAGAGTAATGGATTAAAGCCAGGTATGGCAACACACAACTTTCAACTCAGCACTAAGAGGATGAAGTAGGTGGATCTCTATAAGTTCAAGACCACCTGGTCTACATGGTGAACCCCAAGCTAGCCAGAGCAAGAGAATGAGACCCTGTTTCAAACAAAAAGGGAGGATTTAAAAAAACAATGCTATGATAATGCTATTGAACTTTCATTTCATTGTAATATCTTGCAGACGTCACAGAAGTAAAAACAGTGGTTCATTATGAGCCACTATTGTCATTATACGAGTAGCCAGACAGAGTTTCAAAACATCTTTAACCCCAGCACTGGGGAGGCAAAGGTAGGTGGATTCTGGGAGTTCGAGGACAGCCAGGACTACATAAAGAGACCCTGTCACACACCTTTACTCCCAGCACCGGGGCAGGCCTGTAGGAGTGCCAGGGCTGCCAGGACTACACAGAGAAACCAGAGCACCGTATATTAACGTAATTAAACTGTATGCAAAAACGTTACCTTTGAATTTTTATTAGAGAGAAGGGGTGAGTGGATCTTGGATACACTGTTGAATGTTAGAATTCTCACCACCACCACCACCACCCCCTACCCCCCACCCCCCCACCCCCGCCACAAGACAGGTCTCACTGTATAGCTCAGGCTGGTTTTGAACTTGAAATCCTGCTGCCTCAGGAATGCTGGGGTTACAGGCAAGTGTCTAGCTTATTCCGTAACATTTTGATGTTAAAAAAAGTATTCCAAGGCTCTGGAGTGGCACAAAAGCAATATTTTCCAAATCCTGTTTTCTATGTAAGCACAACCATATTCCAGGGAAGCAGCACCATACGTCTAACAGATACTTGTAAAACACAATGCGAAAGTTTATAGAAACGTAATATGCTAAGTACCCAAAGAAGGAAATTAAAATAGGAGCATAATATAAAGCTTCCCAGGAAAAATATAGTTAACAAGTTTAATTAAAATAGAATTACTATATTTAGTATGCCCTCAAACCCATAGTTTATATTGCTAACTGTGCAAAAAGAAAATAATTTAAAGGTCTTACAATTGAATCTATATTTCTGTCTGAAAAATTTATGTGTGTTATTTTCTTCAGGCACTGTGCGATGGTTTCTTCTTTTCGGGGTTTAAGATTGCTGTTTTTGGCAATTAAATCCAGAGTCAGTCGAACCATGGTTTCTGTGTAACTCAAACTCTCAGCAAAAGCTCCATTTTAACACCATGTCCAGAAGCATGTTTAGGTATTACTTCCAACTTTCTAAAAAGTAAAAGGAACAAGGGAGCATTGTGATATAAAGACATGTAGGAAAGGTTGGGTTGCTTTAATTTTCTCCTGTACAACTGCTTGGTAAACTAGGCTGTTAGCATTTATGCTTTCTGATATTTTCTACCTCTATAGAAAACTCTTTTCATTACAACTTTTAAAACCAAGGCCAGGTGTGGTGGCACATGCCTTTAATCCCAGCACTTGAAGGGAAGAGGCAGGTGCATCTCTTTAAATTCAAGACCAGAGCCTGGTCTACAAAGTGAGTTCAAGGCTAATCAAGGCTACATAGTTAGATTCCCTATCTTAAAAACAAAATAAAACAAAAACAAAGCAAAACCAAACTCACAGCTGGTGGTGGTGGTGGCAGTGCTCGCCTTTAATCCCATCACTCAGGAGGTAGAGACAGGCGGATCTCTATTAAGTTTGAGGCTAGCCTGGTCTACAAAGCAAGTTTTAGGACAGGCTCCAAAGCTACCCAGGGAAACCGCCTAGAAAACAAAACAAAAAACAAAACAAAACAATAAAAAAAAATAAGTCAACAAAACATTTAAAACATGGACATGAACTAAATGCACGGTTTTAGTGTTTATTTTTTGGAATAGGATCTGGCAGTGTAGCCCTAGCTGGCCTGGGACTTGTTACAGCCTCCTTTCCTCTTCCTGAGTTCTGGGATTAGAGATCTGTGCCAACACACAAAGCAGGGTTTCATCTGTGTTACCAGGGTAGCCTCCGATCTGCGATCTTTCTGCCTAACCCCCAGTTCACCATGTATTTCATTTGTATGTATTTCCCTCCCCCAGAGCAGTGATGAGTTGTTGTGGGTACCTCTTTCCTCCTCCCTCTCCATCTCTTTTTCTAGTGCTAGGATGGAGACCAGGACTCACTGCATGCTAGGCAATCACTTTACCACAAAGCTACATCCTGTGCCCTGAGGGAAACATCTTTTTAAAAGATTATTTGTCCCCTCTGAGTGAAAAAGGACTTCCAAGGAAACTGTCCGGTGCTCTTATTTCATAGGCGGAGAAATTCTGTCTCAGGGAGTTAATCCAGGCTATTCAAACTGTCGCTGAGCGCGGAGCCAGAGGACTCCCTCCTCAGAGGAACCGAAGCAGAACACATGCTGTTGAGCACCCCGAGTTACACACCTGAAATGGGCCGGCGCAGATAGTGTATGTCATACCAGAAAAGCCGGCAATGTAATGCGGTGCTTTCCAAAGCAGATTGCACAGTTCGAACATCAGCTTCCCTGCTCCCTAGCAAAGCAATCGTGAAGTCTTTGTATCATAAATTTAATGAGAACTGACATTTGATCCCTAGCATCACAAAAATAAATCATAGGTAAAAACAAAGTCAGACCTGTGTGGTGTGTGCATGAGCCTGGGACACAAGTGTGTGTGTGTGTGCGCGCGCGCGCGCGCGCGTGTGTGTGTGTGTGCACGTGCACATGTGTGTGTGCGTGTGTGCGGCGCGCTCATGAAATGCACAGCTGCAAGTTAGGGTGTCTGGGTGCCCCCCCAGGCTCCATCTCCCTTGAGGAGGGAGAAACTTCTTTTCCAGTGGTGTAGCCCCTCCTAAGGTGTCCATGTTCCTCTAAACAATCCCTTACTTTCGCCCCTGTAATTAACTGGAATGAAACACACTGAGAATAGACAAAAAAAAAAAAAAAAAAAAAAAAAACGGCAAGGAGGGAATATGATCAAACTACCTTACATGCATTTGTGAAAATATAATGATATAATGAAACACATTATCATATAGAATATATGATATAATGAAACACATTATCATATAGAATATAATGATATAATGAAACACATTTTCATATAGAATATATGATATAATGAAACACATTATCATATAGAATATAATGATATAATGAAACACATTTTCATATAGAATATATGATGCTAAAAAAACAGTAAGTGACTTCCCTTGATGATACCTGTACTCTAGCCACTTGGGAGTCTGAGGCAGGAGGATTGTTTGAGTTCTCGTGTTTGACAGGTGAATATGAAAACCTGTTATAAAATAACTATATAAAACCAGGTGGTGGTGGCACAGGCCTTTAATCCCAGTACTCTGGAGGCAGAGGCAGGCAGATCTCTGTGAGTTCAAGGCCAGTCTGGTCTACAGAGTGAGTTCCAGGACAGCTGGGTTTACACAAGAAACCCTGTCTCAAAACAGCAAAAATAGGGGCTGGAGCGATGGCTCAGTGGTTAACAGCACTGGCTGCTTTTCCAGAGGTCTGGAGTTCAGTTCCCGGCAATCACACGGTGGGTTACAAGCAACTATAATGAGGTCTGGTGTCCTCTTCTGGCCTGCAGGCAAACACACATGCAGAATGCTGTGTGTGTGTGTGTGTGTGTGTGTGTGTGTGTGTACATATACATATACATCCAATTAAAACAAGCAAAAGATTACATACAGTAAGGATAGTGCTACTAGGCCAAAGGATTGTGTGGAGAAGACATACAGGCTTGTGTACCTGTGGCATGCACCCAGGGCAGCTATGAATGTAAGCAACACAAAATGGCAAACAGGGTCCTTTTTTATTTCTTACTTTTTGTAATTTGAGTTGTGCTTCACAAGTATGAACTTCGTAGCTGACATTAGCGTGTTGCTATATGAAAAGGTTGGCCATGTCTGTGAGTGTTCTGTGCAGCGTCTGACAGAGCTCAGAAATATTTGACAACATTATGATTCTATTGCTGTTTGGTTCACAGATGGAGTTCCTTTTATTCTTCAATATTGGAGGCATGCGAACTATGAAATGGGGGCATGTTTTCAAATAGAATATTACTTTATGTAAGACCCACAGACCCATACATAAGCTTAAAATATAAAACACTAAAAATAAATATAAGTTTAACATGGTGGTTCATAAACCTAGTATTTGTGAGGTGGGTGCAGCAGAAATCAGGCCAGTCACAGCTACGTATGAATTTTAGGCCAGTCTGAAATACATGAAACCCTGCTTCAAAGAGAAAAGAAAAGAAAAGAAAATATAGGTGTGTGTGTGTGTGTGTGTGTGTGTTGTAGCTAAATGGTGTCTAGCAGTCACAAGGTTCTGAATTCATCCCGGTACTCAAGCAAACAAACAAACAAACCCCTCTGTTCTCTTCAGTGTGGACATTGGTATTTATGTATTGCTTTTGTTTCAAATGCCCATATGCCTAAAAAGTACAGGGTTCCATGTCCGTCCGTCCGTCCGTCCGTCCCCCCCCCCCCCCCCCCGCTTAACCTCTTGCTTTGGAGTAACGTACCGCTGCTGTAGTGTATTTTTTCTGAGCGACGACTCTGGGTCTTTCCGTGTTTTGCTTTTACAATGCTGCTTTTATGGTTCTTGTCTATGTTGTCGTTACCACAAGGCTAAATCTAGGAGCACATTTTAATGTCCCTGTATGCTCCCGGATTGCCCCTCAGTGGGACCCTGACGCCGGCTGCTGTGGCAGTGTCCCCATACGTGCAGCTGTGGCTTTGATGTCAACAGTTTTTAACCTGGCTTTTAACTGGACACTCTCGACACAACAGAGACAAGTACTTTCTTGTCACCCTTTCAGAACTCCTCTTTCTGCTAATTGCTATTTCTGGGCCTCTTTCACTTTCCCTACTGGGTGTGTACCATATTTTTCCTTTCTTTCTTTTTCTTTCTTTGTTTTCTCTTCTTTTCTTTCTTTTTTCTTTTGGTTTTTCAAGACAGGGTTTCTCTGTATTGTTTTTGTAGCCTTTCCTGACACTTGCTCTGTAGACCAGGCTGGCCTCCAACTCACAGAGATCTGTCTGCCTCTGCCTCCCAAGTGCTGGGATTAAAGGCGTGCGCTCCCGACACCCACCGTTTTCAGTAGTTTTTAATAGTCTCATAAAAACTCAGTTTTTTTCTTTAAAAAAGTTTAAAATTTTATTCTTCTCTTGTATATTACATCCTGACCCTAGTTTCCCCCCTTCTCCCCCTCCTATCTCCTCCCCTCCCCCTCCCCTATCCATTCCTCCCTTTCTCTTCAGAATAGGTCAGGCCTCCCAGGGATATCAACCAAACATGGCCTCTCAATTCACAGTAAGACTAGCCAATACCCTCTTCTTAAAGCTGGACCAGGTGGCCCAGAGCTAGGAAAAGCATTTCCAAAGCAGGCAAAAGTCAGGGACAGCCTCATTCTCATTGCTGGGAGTCCCTCAAGAAGACCAAGGCACACAACCAAGAAATAAACTGCAGAGAGCCTAGGTCAGACCCATGCAGGCTCCCTTTCAAGACAGGGTTTTTCTGTATGCCCTAGCTGTTCTGGAACTCTCTGCAGACCAGACTGGCCTCAGACTCACAGACATCCACCTGCCTCTGCCTCCCAAGTGCTGGGATTAAAGGTATGCACCACCACCTCGAATAGCATTTTTTTTTTTTTTCTGAAAGCAGTCTAATGTATTATTTTCTTCTTGGCCTATGTTTTATGCTTTTTGGGACTTAGCAATCTCTTCCCTACCCCAAATTTAAAACATCAACCTAATATTTTAAATTTGTTCACATTTTGCCAGACACATTTTGTTCTTTTGTCTGGAACTGCTTAACACATATGAGTTAAGAGAGATTTGAATGTATATTTTTTCCTAGTGGGAACTAGTTACCCAGTACATTATGCAAAATTGTTTTTCTCTTCCCTTCGTTTATGCTTCTGTTTGCATGGCAACACTGTTTCCTAAATTCAGGCCAAACTTTGGTTATTCTTGGTCGTTAACTCTTTTATTATTTTTTTTTTCCTTTGAGACAGGGTTTCTCTGTGGCTTTGGTGTGTGCCACCAACACCCAGCAGTCATTAACTCATATATAAATATTTAATATTCTTATGTTTCATAAAAAAAAAAAACCCTGTCAGGACTTTGTTAGGAATTTTAATGAGTTGTGAGTCTTCATAGGGAAGACTCAAGACTCTTATATCGCCGGGCAGTGGTGGCACACGCCTTTAATCCCAGCACTCAGGAGGCAGAGGCAGACTGAC